AATCAATAAAATTATGTTATTAATTTTATAAGAAATATTTTATCTTCCCAACCACCCAACTAGTGTTCATCATCTGTCTAGTTTCTAGAAAATGCTGCCCTTCCCTAAGGATGACTCCCCAGTCCACTCTGACAGAGGGAAGCGGGGCAAGCCTTCTCTGACCTGCCTCCCCTCTTCTCCCCACTCAAATACGCCACCCCAGGACCCTTCTCCCACCACCAGTACTGACTTTCCCTGAACATTTACACTGAATGAGTCTTCACATCAACGGCCAAGACCCAGAGACTATAAAACCCAGCTCCCGGAAGAGAACAGCCCAGAATCTCCTGCCCCCACTCCTGGCTGTCCTCGCCGGGGCCCCTTGGAGGGGGGCGGGTTGAGTTTCCCTCCCCACCCAGAGCAGAGCCCCAGCAGCCGAAGACCTCCAGAACCAGCCACCACCATGCTGAGACCACTCTCCACACGCATGAAGGTACCAGCAGAGGAACAAAGGCATGCGGGTCCCGGGGCTGAGATCCCCAAGCCTGCTCAGATCGGGGCTGAGCATCCTCCACTCAGATCCTCCATCTTCCAGTAGGCAGGGGTCACACCTACCAACTGCCCCCCATCAATGGCCAAGACCCAGAGACTATAAAACCCAATTCCCAGAAGCACGCGGCCGTGAATCATCTCATTTTTACTTTGGGCAACCTGGCAGGCTACCGAATGTAACCTGCCCACACAGCAGAGTCTGGCAAACTCTCCGTGGTGTACCCAATATGCCAAATACCAGTAACAATGATGGGTCTCATTCTCCTAACCCTAAAAGAGCCTTGAATATGTCACTTTTGAAAATCTCAGGGCAAGGGCGAAGGAGATGTTACTGGGGCCTGCTCAAGGCAATCGACGAACAACAGGATGATCGTGATCACGAGTCTTCACATTTTTTTATGTTTTATTTTGCTTTAGTTTGGTTTTTAGTTTGACCCACTCCCAGCAGTGCTCAGGCACTGCACTCAGGAATTACTGATAGAGTCGAAGTAGAGTGTGGACGTTGGAACATGGAACAGGTAGCCAATCAGAACACAGAACGGGACAGCTGGGGGTGATTTGGCAGCACATAAAAGGAACCCCCACACTCCCCTCTCCCCCACCCCTATCTCTGTAGGGTGGTGCACCCAGATACAGGGCCCAATACAGGTGGGTCACACCGGGCCAGACAGTATAGAAAAAAGGTACAGGAATTTCATCCACTTGCACTCCGGTTGTGACCAGAGACTAGGAAGGCCAGGCCAGGATGACAGGAACTGCTGGGGTACAGTTGGGAGGCCCGGGATAGGTACAGAGCACAGGGCTCTTGCCCACCCACCTGTGTCTGTGGCTGGACACTGAGGAAAGCGTACACAGGACAGAGAGAGCCACGCAGGGACAGGACCTGGCAGTCAAGTTCACAGGAAGCCAGTAGACTGCATGCTATGAGACAGGGAAATTGTGCACATGATCAAGCAGGGTCCCAGAGGGCACTGGTGATATTGTTCATGGCTAAAAGAGAGGCCTGGATATCTGGGGAGGGACCCGGACCCACCTACCTATTCTGTACAACACTAATTTTCAATCTTCCAATTTTTGTATGCAAATCTTTCATACAATTCGCAAAACAAACAAACAAACAAAAAAACACCAGCGCAATAGAATCTGCCTTCGTGCTAAAATTACTATTAGCACAACAAATGGGCTGCTGTGGATTGAACCCAGTAGGCTGGGTGCAGGGCAAACACTCTACCCACTTTAGCCTAGCGTCCTTATATTCTTACCTAATTTCTGCCCTAATTTCTGCTGATGGCCTGAATGTTTGGGGTGCAGGATGACAAGGGATGGCGCTCCATCTGAGGGACTGGATTGTAGAATAACATTACCACAGGGAGCTTAGGTTTATCAGTTACACCCATCACAGTGCTCCTGAGTCACTCCCATTCCTCTGTTTATCTGTAAACTCTTCTCTGTGCTCTCCTCCCCAGCCAGTTAATCACCTTTTCTCCCTAATCAGATTCTGTTAGCTTGTAAGATCAGATCCTTCTAAGGACACTGAACTTGTAAGTTATGTCCTTTGCAGAGTTTACCTTAAAGCAATGTCCTTTCGGTATGGACACAGACAGTTAATATTATGGTTTGTAACTTGGGAGTTGATTGACTCCTAATAATATTTACTCCTGGGCATCTGATTTCTTGACTCAGTTGCCCTTAGTTCCTAGCGTCCCAAAAGCAGGGTCCTGACGAGGGACTGAATGGACCCAGGGCAAGCTGTGAGCTACCCTGGCAGCGAAATGGGCCAGGCCAAAGCGCCACGATACTCAACTATAAGTTGAGGGCATGATCATGGACAAATGCTGTCATGATCCAAAAGTAAGTAATGACAAGACTAGGACCCTGCTGGGGCTAGGAAGACTAACCTGAACTGAGGACTGATATATATATATATATATATATATATATATATATATATATATATATATTTGCTCGAGCGGGCCCAGTAACGTCTCCATTGGAGACTTTGTTGTTACTGTGTCTGGCATATCGAATACTCTCGGTAGCTTGCCGGGCTCTCCGGGAGGGGCGGAGGAATCGAACTCGGGTCGGCCATGTTGGCCACGTGTAAGGCAAACGCCCTACCCGCTGTGCTATCGTCAGAGCACTATCCAATATATATATATATATATATATATATATAGGATAGTGCTCTGATTTATCACAAACTGGTGATCCCATTAATCATCCGCACATCACTGTATCACTGTATCACTGTCATCCCGTTGTTCACCAATTTACTCCAGCGGGTGCCAGTAACGTCTCCATTCATCCCAGTCCTGAGATTTTAGCAGCCTCTCCTTACTTGTCTTTCCCAACGCTGCCGTATTGGAGGCTCTTTCAGGGACAGGGGAATGAAACCTGTTATAGTCAATGTTTTGGGCATACCGAATATGCCACTGGTAGCTTGCCAGGCTCTGCCGTGAACACCTGCTCATAAACAAGATCAACTTATGAAGCTCACTAAAACTCCTCAAGGGGCCAGGAAGATTGCCCAGTGGTCAGGGAATCCTGCTTTGCACACTCCAGATAGGTTTGGAACTTGGCACCATGCGGCTCTATCAGGTTTAGCCTTGGAAGCTCCCAAGCACCGTTGGGTGGCCTGGTGCTGCTCAGCCCTAAAGGGCTCATATTGAACAACCTGGTACAGTTGGCAGAGTACTTCTGGAGTGGCCCCTGAGCCCCTAAACACTGTTTGGGTGCCCTTCCACCCCTCCTCCAACACACAAAAAAATCTTCTCTGAAGTGTTCATCATACAATCAGTTCCATCATATCAGGGGGAAAAGCTCAATTATTTCCCATGCCCTGTAGAGAAAATGTTAGTAAGTTAATGTCGATGAAGTTAAAAACTTCATCAAGGGGCTGGAGTGATGGCGCAATAGGGCATTTGCTTTGCTTGCAGCAGACCCAAGTTCAATTCCCAGCATCCCATATGGTCCTCCAAGCACCGCCAGGAGTAATTCCTGAGTGCATGAGGCAGGAATAACCCCATGTGCATTGCCGGGTGTGACCCAAAAAGCATAACAAACAAACAAACAAACAAACAAAAAAACCCCACTTCATCGATAGAAAGTAATCACTACAATTCTAGCAAGACAAGTACCAAGAAGTTTATTTAAAATGTTATTTTGGGAAGGATCCTCCCAGGATGGGAGAGGCATGCTGAACGTAGACTTAGACCAAACATGATTGCCATTCAAGGCCTCTCTTGCAAACCACAGCACCCAAAAGGAGAAAGAGAACAAAAGGGAATGCCCTGCCACAGAGGCAGTGTGGGATGGGGGGATGGAGGTGGGAGGGATACTGGGATTAGTGGTGGTGGAGAATGGGCACTAGTGGAGGGATGGGTACTCGATCATTGTATAACTGAAACCCAAGCACAAAAATGCATAAGTCTACAACTGTACCTTGTGGTGTTTCACTAATAAAAATTAAATAAATAAATAAATATTTGCCCAGTCCAAAAATAAAAAATAAAAAAAATAATTTTTTTAAATGTTATTTTCCTGGAAGACAGAGGAAGTAATTACAAAGGTTAAGACGAGCCTTGCAGTTGCCCACCCTGGTTCCATCTGGCACCACACAGAGCCTGGCAGGTACTGCTGGGTACAGCTCTGGAAGTTCCGGGGCACTGCAGGGTTGGCATAAAGCATAAGCAAAGCCGGGCAGCACGGGCAAGCTCAGACCCCCCTGGCGCTGAACCAGAACAGCCAGGAGGGGCCCTCCCGCACCTCCTGAACACCGCTTGGGAGTTCCCCCCACCCCCCAAAAATTATTCTAAATTCTGTGTATGTGTTCCATTTTTCCTTCCTTGAGGTATATCCATTTTCCTGCTACCTTCTGTATTTGGTAACATTTTTTTTGGAGGGGGGGGTTCACGCCCGGTGATGCACAGGGGTTACTCCTGGCTCTGCACTCAGGAACTACCCCTGGCAGTGCTCGGGGGACCTGATGCTGGGATGCTGGGAATCGAACCCCGGTCGGCCACGTGCAAGGCTAACGCCTTGCCCGCTGTGCTATTGCTCCAGCCCCTGAATTGGGTAACTTGGGCGATACTTTCTGCCCCACCTGACTCGACACCCACGCCAGGGCCCAGGAGGACGGACTTGGGCAGGGAAGGACCAGCAGCCGACACAGCCCCCGCGCCCACTGCGAGGAAGCGACCTCCCTTGGGCGTTTCACCAGCATCTCTCGGGATTCACGGGCAGAGTCGCGGGCGGGGCGGGGCGGGGCGGGGCGGGGCGGGGCGGGGCGGGGCGGGGCGGGGCCGAGAGTGCGGGTGCGGATTGGCCGGGCGGCCTATTTTAAAAGACCCAATCAGCGGCCGCGGCCTCTCCGCGCGCCAGCCAATGGGAAGCCCGAGGGGGCGGGCAGAAGGAAGCGCGGCGCCGTTTGAACCGGGCGCGCGGCCGGAAGTGGGGCTGTGAGGCGCGCCATGGCGGCCCGAGGAGAGGGAGTGGAGCTGCTGCTGCTAAAGCTTGGGGAGAGCCGGCGCCGCTTCCAGAAGCGCATGCAGAGGCTGATCGCGAAGGTGCGGGCCGGCGGGGCGGGGCGGGGGGCGGCGGCGTCTGACGGACCCGACGGGGCTGACGGCACCTGACAGGACCTGAAGGGGCTGACGGGCCGAACGGGGCCTGACGCGACCTGACGGGACTCCTGACGGGGCTGACCGGACCTGGAGGGGCTGACGGGCCTGGCGAGACCTGACGGGACCTGACGCGGGACCTGGCGGGGCTGACCGGACCTGACGGGACCTGGCGGGACCCGAAAGGGCTGGCGGGCCTAACGGGGCCTGACGCGACCTGACGGGACTCCTGACGGGGCTCCTGACGAGGCTGACAGGATCTGACGGAGCTGATGACACCTGACGGGACCTGACGGGGTTGACGGGGCTTAAAGGACCTGACGCAGGACCTGACGGCACTGACGGGACCTGATGGGACCTGAAGGGGTTGACGGGGCTGACGGGCCTAACGGGCCTAAAGGCGCCTGACGGGACCTAACGGGACATGACAGGGCAGACGGGGCTGACGGGACCTGACGCGGGACCTGGCGGGGCTGACCGGACCTGACGGGACCTGGCGGGACCCGAAGGGGCTGACCGGATGTGACGAGGTTAAGGGACCTGACGGGGCTGACGGCACCTGACAGGACCTGAAGGGGGCTGACGGGTCTAACGGGACCTGACGGGGCTCCTGACGGGGCTGACAGGATCTGACGGAGCTGATGGCACCTGGCGGGACCTGACGGGACTGACGGGGCTGACAGGCCTAACGGCGCCTGACGGGACCTGACGGGACCTGACAGGGCAGACGGGGCTAACGGGGGTGACGAGACCTGATGGGCCCAACTGGGCTGATGGGGCTGACGGGACCTGACCCGGCCTGACGGGCGCCCACCTCTCCTGCAGTATGACCGGGCCTACAAGGACTCCCCGCTGGTGCAGATGTCCACGCTGACCTACGAGACATCTCAGGGTACGGAGCGCGTACCCACCCCCCAATCTTCCGCGGCAGTTCTGGGGGTGAGGGGAGGTGGTGGAGGGCGCTTCCGAGGGGGCCTCCCCGGGCTCCCCAGAGCTGGGCGGTCTTTGCTGCAAACAGACCCCTGTAAGGCCGCCTGGGCCTCCTGGGGGCCGAAAGCCCCGAACCCCAACAGAGTTGCCTCCCTGAACACCTGTGGTGAAGATGCCCCCCCAGGAGGGGGCAGGGGGCGCCCAGCTGACCACCCCACCCCCAGTGGTGTGGGTCCAGGTTTGGAAGCATGAAGCATGACAGCAGCAGTGCTGGCTCCCCGGTGTCAGTGTGGAAGGGCAGGGGAGCAGATCCGGAGGTCAGGGTGGAGCCCAGAGACCTCCGCTGCGCCTGCTGGACTTGGGGTGCTGACCCAGTGGGGAGTGGGCCAGAGGAGCCCATTACGTTGTTCCTGCAGGGCAGGGGCGGGTGGCTGAGACCTGTTCCCTTATTTTACTCCCTGATGCTAAAGCGAAGGTCAGATCCCCAGGCCAGAGCCATAGCACAGCAGGTAGAACTCGCAGCTGACCTGGGTTACATACCCGGCCCCCCGTATGGCTCCCTAGCACCGCTGGGAGTGATCCCTAAGTGTGCCCCCGACTCCGAAAAGAACTTTCAGATCCCATTTGCTGGGCCAGCAAAGTTCCTGAGATCTGTGCCTTAAAGGAAGCCAAGCTGTTGTTTCAGCCAGGCTCATGGAGGCTACGTACACACCCGCACGCATGCACACACACGCGTGTGAACACGAATACCCGCAAACGTCCCTCAACGCCTTTTGGCATTGGTGCTTGCCACGCGGGCTGCCTCCCACTAACTAGGAAAGATTTTCATTGATGGCAGCTTCATGATTCATAATCTCATCTTGATTTTTTTTTTTTTAAATCCTTCTGCCGGGGCTGGAGCAATAGCATAGCGGGTAGGGCGTTTGCCTTTGCACGTGGCCAACCTGGGTTCATTTTCCAGCATCCCATATGGTCCCCCGAGCACCGCCAGGGTGAGCACCGCCAGGAGTAACCCCTGAGCATCGCTCGGTGTGACCCAAAAAGAAAAAAAAATCCTTCTGCCACACAAGACTAAAATCCAGAACATCAGTGTGTGTCCTGGCCCTGTTCTCCCCCCGCCGGTGACTCTAGGCATGGAGGCTGAGTGGGAATTTGGGGTACACAGGACCCTTTCTCTCTCTTCCCTGAAGGTTTGAGAATTTGGGGTGGAAAACTAGTGGACAGGAGCAGAGCACAGTGCCAGGTAGGTGTAGGGGTTTTTACAGCCTAGCACCTCTGTGCAGTGGTCTCATGCAGGGAGGGATGGAAACCGTGAGCCCTGGTCCTGGCTTTCTCCGCTTTCCTGGCTACTGCTTCTTCATTGCTTGCTACGCTTAACTAGCACCGGTTGATGTACCCACCGTTTCTGTCTTCTGCGTATCCTCTGCCATCTGGCTTGCAGCTCCAGCCCTTGGACACATCCAGGGATTCAGCCTCCACAGCTAGGAAGGGACCAGGTGGTCCTTCAAGAAAGACCCCATCCTGGGGCTGGAGCAAGAGTGGGGCGAGTGCTTGCTCTCATATGACTGGCACCAGGTTTGATCCCCAACATCCCATATAGTCCTCCAAGCCTACCAGGAAAATCCCTGAGCATCACTTGGTGCCCTCCCCCCCCCGCCAGGGGAGAAAAAAAGACACACCCCCATCCAGATCATCGCAGGAAAGACATGCTCCTTTTTCCCTTCTGGGGGGATGAGGGGGACTGGCAGAGAATACCCCTGTGTATTGCCTGCCATTCAGCACCCAGGCCTGGGGCCCCAGTGACATTCAGCTTGCTAGTGGGAGGACCCCAAACACACAGGCACTGGGGAGTCGGGTGTGGAGCTTGGGCAAGGGCTTGTGGGATCCTCTGACTCCACGTGGTCCTTCCATGCAGGGTCACCGGGAAATGGACAGCACATCTGAAGTCAGGTTTCTTCCTTGAGCTTAGGTGTGATCCTGTTAGTGCTGGGGATGTTGGAAATGCCCAGTTCTGTCTTCTCTGGCAGAACAGGGCACTGGTGATTGTACCACGTCTGACCTCCCTGCAGTGGTAGCGGGTGGCTGTGCCCAGACAATTGGACACACCCTGCTCCCTCTGTTGCCCCCCCCCGCCCCCATCCTTGAAGCTGGTGGGGTTGTGCGCTTTGTGGACCCCTGGCCTGCCGGTAGTAGGTGTAAGAATTGGCCGAATTTCCCAGCCCAAGATTGTCCAACCCCATTGTTGCGCGCGTGTGCGCGCGCACACACACACACACACCCCCCAGTGCAGTTCCTGAAACTCCTCACACACCCTATTATTGCCATCCCAGGTGTTCCGGGGGCAAGGATGCAGCAACCCTGAGGTTGGAGGGAGTTCCATAGTGATTATGAACCCCAAACTCTGAGCCTTAGAGATGAAGCCTTAGGGTGCATCTACAAGGCTAAGTCCCTCCATGATCTCACTCAGCAAGGGTGTTGGGGAGGTCCCCCAAAATCGCAAAGCTGCTCTGGCTCTTGAGTTTCCGCTTGGCATTCCCAGAGCCTGTGGGGTGCTGTGGCATGAGGCCTGCTGACCGAGGGTGCAGTTGGGTTCATGTTGCCATGGAAGCTTTGAAAGAAATCATGGCCCTCGTGGCATCCAGATGAACATGCAGAGGAGCCACAGTGACAGTACAGGGACTTGGAGGCGCTTGGGTTGGCCCCCTGAGCACAAAGCCAGGCGTGAGCCCTGCACATGGCTGAGTGTGGCCCCAGAGCTATAAATACCAAATAACATGTGGGCTGAGACCCAGGCCCAGGACAAATACCCCCCAGCCCCTTCCCGCTCTCATTCTGCCTGGTGCTCTGACCGTCTATACCTGGGCGTGTGGCATGTGGATTGGACGTGGTCTGGGGAGCCCTGTCCTTATGTGTCGGGGGAGGAACGTAGGTTTGTTATTCTCATGGCTGTGAACTGTCATCACTGAAACTAGCCTGTGTTTCTGGACTTGGAGGACTCGCCCCAGAAGGTGGAGGACAGGAACGATGGCCAATGGGGAGCGACAGCCAACAGCCCTGTGGGAGCTGGTGAGTGCCCCTCATCCCTGACCTGTGGGGGCCTCAGCAGAGCTGTTGACACACAGCCCTGGAGATGTGTGTTTACCATTTGTCTAGATTTAACTCCATTGCTGAATACTTGAGAATTTCCTGGCTGCTTGGGATGACAGGAAATAACTTCCAGTGGGACAGTCCCGGGGCCTGGCAACTTCTCAGTTAAAATTGGGCCAGAGCAATAGTACAAAAAAAAAGTGTATAAGCCACATTTGTCTGCAGCTAGGCTCAGAGGCCAGGAAAGTGCCCACCTTCCCTCAAGGTTCTCCCAGGGGGGCAGAGGGTTTGGGGGGGGGCTGCAACCACAGGGGTCCAGCTTCACGGGGCCTTTGTGCTTGCAGAGGCTGAGAGTGGCAATGCAGAGTCCACGCGTCATCAGGAAGGACTGACGGTAAGTCCCACCTTTACATGCCCACCTGTACCCTTGAAGCCCTCCAAGGATTGTTCTTTGGCACCCAAGCTGCCCCCCACCCACCAGACCGCCCCTTCCAGTTAGATTTGCAGGACATCCGTGGATGTGTGGTGACTACATCCAGAACCAATGCAACCTGCGCCCCCTTCTGCCTAAACCCCAGTTGTGAATTTGGGTACCCAGATTCTCTGCTCTTTCCTGCAGAGACCACCAGTGTGGGGGTCACTGTCCAGAAGTACTTCCGGTGAGCCTTGCAGGTCATGTGGTCTGGTTCTGCTCCCCAGTATGCACCCAGCCCCCAGAAAAGACTGTTCTTATGTGTGGAGCTGCTCCTATGAAGGTGACAGAGTGTGGGTGGGTCCCCTAAACCTATTCTGCAGAGCCGGCTCTCATCCAGGTCAGGAATTGGGGGGCAGTGTTGGGGAGCAGCTGCCCTAAGGGGAAAGCACGGAGGCACGGCCAATTGTGTGTGTGTCCCCTGCCCCTCAGACCCTGTGGTGCAGAGCAGAAACCCTGGTCTAGCTGCCAGGTCCCCAGTCACGCATGACCACTATGTCTGGTCAGAATCACAAGGATGGGGGCCCTGCGGGGGGCCCTGAGGATGCTCCCTCTGCAGCCAGGCTGTTCCCACCTTGGGCCCTGTTTCTGGGCTTCTTTTCTGTCCTTTTGTTCTCGTGGATTGTTAGCACTGGGTGAAGGCCCTAACATCAGATTACGGGGCAGTGAGTTATCAGATGCCCAAGGGAGGGCTTGACTGGGGGGGAGGGGGGGTTGCCAACCCAGCAACCGGGGTACCAGGATCTGGAAACTTCACTCTCGCAGCTGGCAGTGCCCAGGAGCCCTCTGAAGAATGAGCTCAGGAGGAAGTACCTGGCACAGGCGGAGCTGCTGCTGCAAGGCCAAGGACATGCCCAGGTGACTAGACTGCGCTTCCCGGGGAGAGGAGGAGGACACTGCTCACTCTGTGCTCTGGGATCGGGGTTTCAGCTGCATGCGAAGGGCACAGATAGCAGGACCCCCTCCACCCCCCACTGCCCATGCCTGTGCTGGGGTGGGAAGGGGGCGGGAGAGTGATGGCCGTCACCCTACAGGTGAGGTATGGCTGCACCCAGCCAGTCTTGGGAGCTTTGCCCCAAAAGAAGGTGAGAAGCTTGGGGTGGACATTCCACCCGGTGATGCCCAGTGAGGGGTGCACCTCGCATTGCAGGAAGCACCCAGAGGGGTGGTGTTCATCCTCTGGGCCACTAGAGGTCGGGGGAGATGAAGGAGTCTCAAGAAAGGGGCCGTGGCCCACCGCCCACCAGTCCCCACATGCTCACTGTCATGTGGACTGAGCACTGGGATTCTGCTGACCCCTCTGTGCCCAGCGACTGGGCCCAACTCGACAGGAACTGACATACTGGCTCCCACTGCAATCCCGGTGGCTCGTCCAGGAAAACGGGGTGACTACAAGTGGGGTGCAGGCCGCCCCAAGAGTGCTAGAGTGACCCTAGCTTCTGGTTGAGTGCAGAGTCCCATGTCGTCCTCCCTGTAACCGCCATGTCTACGGGTGCTCAAACACAGCCTTCCCAGCTTATCTAGGCAATGATAGCATATTTCCCCCTCGGAAACGGGAGGATTGTCCCCTGTAACGGTGGGTTCTGACTTGTTATCGGGGATGATTCAGTGGGGTTTGCTGGAATCAAATGACTGTTGGGTTGTTGGTCTCAGTAAAGCTTCAGCTGCTGTCTTGGGAACTGCGGCTGCTGGACTCAGGCACACAGCACGGGAGACTCCAGGGCCAGCTTGAGGGGGAACCAGCCTGGGGTACTCGAGTCCAGCTGCTCACACTCCATTGTCACCAATCACTTGCTTTGATTTCAGGGTGCTGATCATGGAAAGGACAACGACATCCAGGGGACATGGGACCCCGTATTGTTCTCGCTCCTCAGGCCTCCTCGGGGTGAGAGACAGGCGGAGCTTGGTGTGAATTGTGTCCTGGCAGCCTCCCTGTGACGGCTCCCCCTATTCCCTCACCCCGTCCATGATCTCCCCACACCCACCTCTTAGATCTTAGATTCCCAGAGGGCTGGGAACTGAACCCAGGTTGGCCATGTGCAGAGCCCTGTGCTCTCTCCCTGGTTCTGGGTGGGGCTAATTTGTGGAAGTTCTGGTCAGTGCTGGATGAGGCGCCTTTCCTCTCTCGGGGGTCGAGGAGAAGGCGCCTGCTGGAGTATGAGACCCAGGTTGGGGGGGGGGGGTGTCAGAAAGAGGGGAGAGAGAAAGCGGGGGATTGAGAGGCTGGGGGAAGGGGATACCTGAGATGAGCTCACCCAGGTGGTCTGAGCGTTCCTCTGTTTTGGCTCCTGTTTATAAGAACAATAGGCCTTTGGGCCAGAGAGACAGGAGCTAAAATGCCTGCCTTGCATGGGGCTGACCCCAGTTCAACTCCTGCGTCATGCATGTGGTGCCAGGAGCACCACCAAGAGGCCCCACTGAGCACAGGGCCAAGAGTAGCCCCTGAGCACCACCAGCTGTGGCCCAAGCCCCCACCCCATCCCCAGAAAGTATATGTTGTGATGGGCCCTGGGCCGTTCTGGCTGTTGAGGTGTGTGTATCTCTACAGGAAACTGCAGCAGTGGCTCTGACGATCGTCCTGGAGCCTTGGTCACGCTGCCCTGTGCCGCCAGAGAGTACCAACCCTCTCCTCCGGGCCTGGAGGACCCGGCCTCAGCGCCCGGAGGTCTGTCCTTCCAGGAGGCCACAGGTGACAGCTTCTTGAGCAACCAGTCCCTGGAGGACATTGACCTGTGCGAGGTGACCATCAGTGACCTGTATGTGGGCATGCTGCACTCCATGAGCCAGCTGCTAAGCAACCGGCCAGCCTGCATCATCTCCACCAAGACGTCCATCCTGCAGAACTGGAGGCCGCGGTGGAGGTCTAGGGGCAGGGCCAGGATGAACCGGACCTACTGCCGGGGCAGACGAGCCTTGGTGCACAGTCCCCCCGACACATGTGGGCCTGCCTCGAAGCCTGGGCGGGGCATCCCAAGAGATCCCGAGAATCTGCAGCAGGCCCCCAGGCCCTGGACCAAGTTCCGACTGGAGAAAGAGCTCCTGGCAGTGAGCCCGGGCCCAGGTGCAGACTGGCGGGGGCATGAGGGCACACCGCCCAAGCGCGCCCTGTTGACCTACACAGGAGCCAGCTCAGGGTGTGGCTTGGACCAGGAAAACCAGTTGCTGAAACTAAAGTGGCTGATTTCTCCCATGAAATTGGCTGCCAGGCTGCAGCTGCTGCCCAGGCAGATGGGCATTCAGTGCCAGGAGATCAGAAACAGGTTTGCAGAGCTGCACCAGGAATACTGTCCAAGTCCCCGGATGCCACCCAGCCCTGCTGCCCTCCCGGGCTCTCTGGTCGCCTCCCACAGGCCGGCCACTGCTTTCAGGGACACCCAGGCCAGGAGGCTGAGGGAGGCTTTCAAAGATACTGTCACAGGCTCCATGGGGGCTGTCCACTGCCTGATCCCGGCGTCCCCCTCTCCTTCCCGTGGCCCCCTAGATCCTGCCCCACTCAGCCCCGGTCGCTTGCAGCCCCTGGGACTCAGCCCCCCAGCCTCTCGGATGTCTGCGTTGCCTAGTCCAGCACGCTCTTCCCGACACGCCGCTCGCTACCGGGAAATCAAAGAAGCCTTCACCCAGCTCCACTGGGAGTTGTGCGACAAGGCCCTGGCACAGGCGGCCGTGGTACCTCACTCTCCTCAAGACGCTTCTGGGAAAAGAGGTCCCCCAAAGTCACCCTCACCCAGTGTCCGCCACACAGTCTCAGCAGAGGCTCAGCTGTCTGCACGGTGCATGCACAATGCCAGGGAGGACCCCGAGTCCCCGGTGAAGAGACGCCGCTTGTCAGCACCCCCACTGTTCAAGCCCTGGGACTCCTCGAGGCCTGTGAAGGAGGTGGAGTCCCATCAGCCTGATGACAATGACATGAACGAGCGGAAGGTGCGTCCGGGGGAATGATTGCGGGGTGGAGGGGGGTCGGTGACTGGGAATGGTGGGTTTGTCCTGTACACGTGGTGTGTCCAGGCATGGCAACGCTCTTGTTTTCACCACAGTCAGGCAGTGACACTCCCCACAGGGGCCAGAGTCCTGGGCCGTCCACCTTCCTGGTTCAGCCACTGCTTTCAGCACTTCACGGGCTGCCGGCCCGGCTCGAAGCTAGCCTCGGCCAGGTCCTTGGGGGTTATGTAGGTGGGGGGTAAGCAGTATCCGTTTGTCTTGGCCGTCACCTGTGATTATGTTCCAGGGAGCACGTACATAGTGTAGAGAGAGCTCTTGGTACTAGAAACACCCATCCTGTCCCATGAGCAGGCTGCTTCCTAATCTGTCGTGTCAAGGGTGACAGCAGAGCTTTGAATCCTTAACTCCCCAGAGGGCTTGGCAGCAGTGGGGCCCCACTTACTGGTTTGGGGAACATTTCTCCCTCTCCGGCTCTTAGCCAGAACCCTGACCCTCTCCGTCCCCCAACCAAGGACACAATGGGCCTCTGGGACAGAGCCACAGTCTCAAGTTCACATGTCTGAATCACCAGAACCTCCCATGGACAGCCCAGGTCACCGTCAGTCTCAGCCTGCACAGCCCTCCTGGCCCTCCTGTAATAACAGGGTCCTCGGGTCACATGCAGGAACACAAGTTACAGCTCACGGGCACCCTGACTGGCTGGGCTGCACTATGCCTTCCTGGGCATACCCTCTCCTGAGTCTGCATCTGCGTGTCTGCCCTGCAGCAGGTCCCTGTTCCCCGCTTGATGAATCAGACTCGCTGGTAAGGGTCAGAAGGCCCATGGTTGGCCACCCTATGGGTTGGGGAATCGCTTTTTCAGTCTTCGAGGCCCTTGTGGAGTATGCTGACATGTCCCACCCTGGACCCACGGGAACTCGTAAGGTGCTCCCTGAGTGAATTCTCAGAAGTGCATCTGAGTTCAAAGGCAGCTGGCCTTGGACGTTGTACTGGAGTTATACTGAAATCATTCTCTCTGGTTTTTCCTTCTAGAGGAAAGCGCAACGTGTGTTTCAAGATGGAAGAGTGGTTATGTGTTGGAAGAAAATGTCAAGCTAAAAAAACTGGCAGCAAAGATACTTTGCAGTATTAGCCCTTCCGTCCCTTGCTCTTTGTTTATGTAATTTTTAAATCACCAAACACGTTCAAGAACTTGGCTTCAGTCCTCTGCCACTCAAGACACATGTCTGTTAAAATTGGTTCCATCACGTTGCCTCTGAGTTCTCAGTGTTCATATTATTGAAATAAAGCTTTTCAATTAAAATTTTTAATGTTTAATGTTCTTCATATGACTCATGTTTCCTTTTCAAAAAACAAACATATGCAGAGAATCTTCTGTATTTGCTATGGAACCAAATTTTAAACCCTAGATACAAGTACCTTTGAAGGAAGACAGAGTTTTAGTCCCTTAAATTAGATCCACGGTCCTTGGGTCTCTCCCAGAGGTCATAAACTGTAACATAAACGCTTATTAAAAAGTAATTCTATAGGAGCCAGAGACAGTGCAGAGAGTCAGGTGCTGGCCTTGTACAGGGCCTACTCCAGGTTCGATCCCTGATTCTATATATGATCCCCGGAGCACAGAGCCAGGAATAAGTACAGAGCACCACTCAGTGTGCTTGAAAGCCAGGCACCCTAGACAGGGCAAGAGATTTGCTTTCCCTCAGCAGTGGTTGGCCAGGTCCCCACATGCCTCCAGACCTTTCCCCCTGTCTGCAACACCCCAAAAAGAGCACTCCTCTCCTCTGTCATTTACCACATCCTCCATGCATTACACAAGCAAACCCGCACTGAGGCCTCGCCAGCCAAGCCAGGCCCCAGGAAAAGCAGGAGACTCCAGTTTAGGAAGTTTTGTCTCAGGAAGGATGGCAAGATGCAGGGGAGTGGCCTGACCTTAGCCTGCTGTTGGTCTCAGAGCCACTCTGTACCCAGGGCCAGGCCTCTCTGTGACAGCAGGAGAGGCCCCTTTCCCGTCACTCTGGGTGGTACCGCCAGGGAGGCTGAGAGAAGGGACATTGGGTGATCTGAGCCAGTCGTATCTAGTGGGTTGAGAGGTAATGGGAATGGCTGGGGGCAGAGCACAGGGCAAGCAGTCTGACCCCTCACCTGGGACCCAACAGCAAAAAAGGAGCATTTCTCACCTGCACAGCCACAGAACAACGGAACCAAGAACATCAGACGGCAAGAACATAGATCAGACTATAGGCCGGGGCCCTCTGAGTACCAGGTACTGCAGGCCTCGTGGCTTCAGGATCACTGGATACTGCGGGTCAGCCTTAATCAGGGACAGTCCTGCCAAGGACACAGGACTCGGGACCCAAAGCTTCTCCTCATTGGGTGGGGAAGGAAGGGAGCATCACAGTCTGCCATCCGCCTAGAGGCCCCGACTTCAGCCACCCTCATGGAATAAAGACAATGTACACAAACTCGCGCTTTTCATTGGCTTGTATTACTCACTGGGTATGTCCTGGGTGTCCAACTCTGAACCAACCTACTTTTGTGTAAGTCGCAAGTAACTTATGCCAGCAGGGAGTATTTGCAGGCGGACTAGCAGAGGAAACCCCACAGTCCTGAGTTTTGAGACAAATAAAATAAAAGGATGCGGGGAAGCCCAAATGTCAAGACTCATCCCCTGTGGAGAAGACAGGAGGCGGGGGTGGAGGGGAGGGCAGACTTTCCACCCCCCTTAGGAGGTGATTGTCTATACTGAACTCAGACAAGACTGGATGGCTCAGCCAACCAAAGGGAGAGAAGGCTGGACCGACCCCATGAAGAGGAGAAACCAGCAGGGAAAAAAAGTCTGTTAAGGTGGAGGAAGACCAGTGGGAGAGGTAAGACAGCAGGAAGAGCACTTGCCTTGCATGCAGACCACCTAGGTTCGATCCCCTGGCACCCCATAGGGTTCCCTGGGGCCACCAGGAGTGATTCCTAAGCACAGAGCCAAGAGTAAGCCCTGAGCACTGCCGGTGTAGCCCCCAAACAAAAAAGAACCTGCAAGAGTTCTAAGTCCTCAACAACACGCCCACAACCACTCTCAGCTGCACAGAGGCCCAAACCCAGCCGTTTGCAAAACCAGCAGCAGCAAAGCAAGAAGGCCTTGCTCTGTTTGGTCACCTGCATCCCCACTTGGAGTGTCCCTTTCTCCACAGGGCTTCTCTGGAGACGTCTGTGTTCTCTGTTCCATGCGTTTCTCACTGTCCCCTCTGAGTAAGATTTCTGGGCTTCACTCTTGAGGGCCTCCTGAAATTCCTCCCGGGAGAACAGACAGTGAACACACAGGAATGGTTCGGGAGCCCTCTGGGCTTGGGGCTGCGGTGATCGGTGATCACGTGGTAACTTCCATTCAGCATCTCTCTTGCTTTGCTGCTTCCTGAAACTCGGCCAAGGAGGCATCCGCACCTGCGAGGCCACTTGCACATGTGTTACTGCAGCATGGTCTAAGCCCCCTAAAAGATGCCCCCATTGTAAAGGCCTGGCAGGTCGAGACACTCCTGGCTCAGATAAGTGGCTGTGCCCAGGAAGCTCTATTGCTCTGTTCTGCCACCACCGTTCCTAGAACTAGCCCGGGCACGCCTGCTGTATCAACATGGCCCACCAAGACAGATATTCCTGTGCCTTTGCTCCCTTAATTTTTAGAGCCCACCATACTACTCCCTCCTGGGTTAGGCTAAAATAATTTTACCATCTTTTTAATCTTTTTGGGTCACACCCGGCGATGTACAGGGGTTATTCCTGGCTCATGCACTCAGGAATTACTTCTGGCAGTGTTTGGGGTTGGGGGGGGGCATATGAGATGCTGGGAATCGAACCTGGGTCAACTACGTGTAAGGCAAATGCCATACCCGCTGTACTATCGCTCCAGCCCCAATTCTACTATCTTAATGTGATTGGCTTGGAACATTTCATAGTAGATCCAAATTACTATGTGTATGTCTGATCCTTTTTTATAAGATTGGCTTGGAATTTTGACTTGTTACTATTCTTTGTTTGTTTGGGGGGGCCACGCTCAGCTAAACTCAGGGCTTACTCATGCCTCTGCACTCAGGAATCACTCCTGGCAGCCTTGGGGGGACCCCTCTGTGGTGCCAGGGATCAAATCTGGGTCAGCTGCATACAAAGAAGACGAGTGCCCTGGCAAATTCTTTCACCACCCCACGGCATGAACCCAGAGGGGTCTGAGTTCAAGCACCACCTCCGAACCCTTCACTGACGATGGAAGCACTCTGGAAAGCATGTCTGGATGTGCATGCTTCCCTTCTTGGCATCTTCACTGCAAGCACAAACTTCCCAATGCCTCGGAGAGGCTGAACTGGCAGCAGCACTGGGAGGCACGAAGCAGAATAACTGAGGGCATTAGGGTTTAAGTCAAGGTCCAGCAGAGTGACACAATCTGACCCAGTGTCCAGCCTCACACCCTCGTGACAATCCTAGGAGATCCCCAGCCCCTGCACGCCCTCCAACACTGCACTCTCAGAATCTCACCCGCTGAACACTGGCCGGGCGTTACCATGGCAACCATGGCAGTACCCAGAGAGTCCAAGCCTTAGATACCAAGGAACTGCCCTGCCCTCTTAGATGCATGGGGGGGGGGGAGGGGCAGGGGCTGGGGATGTTGGACGCAGGGATGACGACTGGACTAGGGTGTCCCTGTGCCCCCTAGGGAGCCTGGCCTCTGTCTGGCTATGTTTTACTGCCCGTCTATAAATTAACTTCGGCTAATCTGATGTCTTCTCTATGAAAGTCTTCTTGGGGAATACAAGAATCAGGGACAAGGTACTGTGCCCCCTAAGACCCCAATACTTTTTCACTGGGATGAGGAGATCGCTTCTCCTTGGCCCAAAGCCTGGTCACTTCCATGCGCACTGGGGGTCCATGGCTCAGTCTACAGACACCCCAGTGACTCCTCTGAGAGGGGGACATCCGTCTGAAGTTCTTCCTTCCCCAAGCCCCACCCACAGTGCCAACCGTCTCCCAGCTCTGCCTCCTGATTCCTTTGAACAGTGGGTGACTGGGGCAGAGGCTAGGCTGGGCGTTAGCCCCAGAGAGGGGAGGCCCTCGCTGTCTGGACAGTGCCGAAACGCAAGTGGAGACTCAAGTCCTTTACATGAAGGGGAGTATCCTGATACCCACATGCCTGGGAATAGCTGGAATTTTGTGGTGGCCCCAGGCAGAAGCACCCTCTCCCCCCCACCCCACTTCTAGAAGATTCTAGATGTTTCCACCTTCCACCTCCAGGCAGGAGGTGAGTGACTTGGGAGGAAAGGAAGGACATGGTGACCTCAGATCAATGCTTTTCTTACAAAACCATTGCACACAGCCCCCATGGTGCTCCATCCAGGGTGCTCACTGGGCTCCCCTAGGAAACGTGTTCAGGCGAGGCCCGAAGGCAGTGCTGGCTACAGGAGTCCAGGATTTTGAGCGTCTCCAGCGCTGCCCTGTGCACCCCAGGATCCGAGTCCAGCTGGAGTTCCTGGAGAGCTGAGCGGGAGGACAAGAGGGGGCACGGACTGTGTCCTCGCCATACCGGTTGGAACCCCAAAAAGGCACACGGGGACTCAGGGTACACATCTTGCATGCCTGAGGCTCCGGTCACTCTATCAGGGACAGAAAGGAGACCCCCTCATCCCCAATCCAGATGATGGAAACAGGGCCAACCGTTTTGTGAAAGGGGCTCAGTGAAGGCCACCTGTCAGAGCTGTCCTGCTGGAGGGCCACCCGGTGCCCTGCTGACACCCCACCCCAATACACTCGGCTCGGCAGGGAGTTTCTCCCAGTGTGACTCACAGTTGCGCAGAGCTGGGAAGTCGAGCTGCCTCAGGTACTGCACGGACATCTGCCTCATGATGATTCCTGCGGCGACAGGTGATGCCAGGAGGCCCAGCGCCGCGGTCCCCACTCCCAGTCAGCCCAGAGATGGGCCCCAGCCTGGGGGCCAGCAGGGTAGGCCACCTGAGCTCTTGTCCCTGCTCCATCACCTGCCCCCTATGTTGCAGGCTCCACGGCATCTCAAGCCCCTGCCCACTGCCCCTCACCTGCCAGGTTGCACGCAGCGATCCTGATCCTGGTCAGGCTGCTTTGCACGTAGCTCATGGTCTCCATCAGGAAGTCGTAGAGAATGGCAGGTTTTTTCTGCACCTGCAAGACACGGGGGTAGGTAGGGCCTTGGAGAAGGGTGGGGAGGAAGACTGGTGTGCTCACAAGGCGACTTGTCATCTGCTGTGCGGGGCCACTGCACAGAGAGGCCCAGGAGGAGGCGGGGCCTGTCACACCTCCAGCCCCACTGCCCAGGGCCTGATCGGGGGGTGGGTCACATGTGCCCACAAACTGGTTGCTGGTCTCCTGGATCCTGGAATGTGGGTCCCAGTAAGTGCGACCAGTCCCTCAAATTGAGTTTTGCTTTTGCATCACACCAGGCTGTGCTCTGGGCTTACTCCTGGCTCTGTGCTCAGGATCACTCCTGGCAGGGCTCGGGGACCCCATGGGGTGCAGAGACAAACCAGACTCGGCCGTGTACAAGTCAAGTGCATTAGTCCCTGTGCTCTCTGACCCCTGTTCCTTGGATTTCAAAGTATCAGACCCCGCAATCTAATGCAAACTACCACGCGAGTAACTCTGATCTTGATTACACCTGGAAATGACAATGATTCAGATCTCACTCCTTCAATACAATATTTTTCTGGTTTTGGGGTCATACCCAGTGGTGCTTGGTGGCTGCTCCCAGCTCTGTGCTCAGGGACACATATGGTCCGAGTGATTAAATCCAGGGTTCCTGTGGTAAGGCCTGGGGCAGCCTGTTGAGCTTTCTCCAGTCCCTAAATAAAATCTGTTTGGTTTGGGGGCCATACTCAGCTCAGGGCTTGCTCCTAGCTCTGTGCTCAAAGATTACCCCTGGCAGTGCTGGGCAGTGGAAGCTGGAGAGTGGTGCTGAGGACTGAATTGGAGTTAGCGTGAAAGTCAAATGCTTTTTTGACCCCAGTTCTCTGTCTCTCTGTCTTTGTCTCTGTCTCTCTCTCTCTCTCTCTCTCTCTCTCTGTCTCTCTCTCTCTCAATAAAATTTATTTTTGCCTCGGGACCACATGGCTATAGAGCCAGGAGTCACCTGGAAGAGCCCCAGCCCCAAGGGATGTGCCCTCTCTAATCCATTCTGTAGCATGGTTTCTCCTTTTCTTTAACTCGGCTACAGAAATCTAAACTGGGGAGGGGGGTGGGAGGGAGGCCTGATGCTCCCTGGGACAGCGTACGTAGCCGTGGCCTTCTCTGGAAGGTGCCCCCTGAGGGTCCAAGCATCAGGGTTGGGATGTGGCCACCAGCCCCGGCTGCAGCGTGCTCACCATCATGGAACACAGAGTGTTCTGGAAGGCCGTCATCTGGTCGACCACGCTGGCAGAGCTCGAGCCCGGAGAATGCTCCAGCGCCTTCCAGCCCCAGAAATGCACACACTGGGACAAGGTCATGCTGCAGGCCTGAGCACAGGGGACAGGAGAGACAGACCTCAGGAGCAGGGCTGGGAACCCCAAAAGATGCCCGAGGAGTCTCCAGAGCCCCAGGAAGGCAGGTGGGCGGGCTCCGGGAGGGTGAGGGCACCAGCATTCGCTCACTGGCTCTTCTAAGGCTGTTGAGAAATCATTCACGTGGGCTGCATGTTACAATCCACAAACGCCCCTCACAGCAGCACCCCAGGCTCTGCCTCTGGCCTGCTGAGGGACTATGTCATGGTGGGGACATTCTGACAGGCTGGGGGCCAGAGAGAAGTAACTCTCACCCCTCCCTCTGCGTCCCAGTCCCCTCTCTGGCAGATGGTGTCCCTTACTGGAGACAGTGGGGTCTTGCCTGCAGCTGCCTCACACTCAGGTCGGGAGAGGTGACAAGGGGTGGACACGGGTATTGCTGGGAGCCCCGGGCAGAGCTGGGCACGGTAGGGAACAAGAGACCACAGGAGGGAGACGTGGGGATCCCCGTCACTTGCCTATGGGTGCCACAGCCCTCCCAGCCTGGGGAAGTGTTGGGCCTGACCCCCAAGCAGCTCAGCAGGAGGGTTTGGGGTCCCCTTGAAGTGTGGGGCTGCAGAGGGCAGCGCTAAGACCAGTGGTATTTGGGGGCCACCCCTGGCAGTGCTCTGGGCATCCTATGAGCAGAGCCTGTGCTCAGCCTGTGAAACTTCTCCCGCCAGGCAAGGGGTTTCCCTCCCTAGTTTTTGGTAGGGGACATGCCCTGCGATCTCAGCCTGGAGATGTGGGAGTTCAGAGATGAGGCAGGTGGGCAGTGGGGCTCGGGGGTCCACAGAGCCACACCCAGCTGGGCTTGGGGGTCAGGGGTCAAACACACATGGCAGGCTCAGTTTGCTCACTGAAGCCATCACCCCAGCCCGCTCAGGGAACTCTTGAACTGACTAGTCAAAACGCCCCCGAAGGCTGGGGGTTCCCAGAAGGGGGCCAAGGGAGACTGGCCAGCCTCTGGGGTCCCCGAGCTGGTTTGTCTCAGCCTGAGTAGAGGACTCGGAATCGGGGGACTGGACCATGCAGATGGTTGGGGAAGGGGGGGTGGGGTTGCGAAGTCACAGGCTAGGAGGACGCCTGCCTTTCTGCAGGGCAGAGGCCCGGGGTCTCACCTGAGCCACCTCAGAGCAGGGGTCCTGGCAGTGAAGCATGAGGGGGACCCAGGCCTTCTTCACCTCCTCCTTGAAGAGGCGCTTCTTGGGCAGCCTCACCACCGTGGCCAGCTTCCCGAAGAGGACGAAGGCCTTGAGCCGCAGCTGCTCACTCTCCTGGGCCCAGAGGACAGGTCAGCCCCACGCTGGGCAGCCCCTCCCACCCGCCACGCGATGGAGCCTGTCTGTCCCACAGGAAGCGCGGGACCGGGCGGGACCCTGGTACAGGTGACCTGGCACGTGTGAACCCCCCCCACACGCGCCCACCCAGAACAGCACAGGAGCCCCCAGGCACTTGTGGCTGCAAGGAATGCGAAGGTGGGGCAGGGAGATGGTTCAATGGGCTGACCACTGGCTTTACAGGCAGAGGAGGCCCAGGTGTGGTCCCTGATACCAGAGGGTCCCGTGCACCACCAGGAGCACCCCCTGAGCACTAAGCCAGGAGCAGCCCCCAGTACTGCTGGGTGTGACCCAAAAGCCAATAAAAACAGAAACAAAAATCAAAGGGAAGGGGGATTCTAAGGGGCTTAGTGATGTGTGTTAATATTTTCGGTTATTAAAAAAAAAAGATAAAGGTGAAGAGGGCCAAAGTGCTAGTACAGGGGGCAGGGTGCTTCCCTGGCTGGCGGCTGACCCAGGTTCGACCCCTGGTACCACATCTGGTTCCCAAGCCCACCAGGAGTGAACTCTGAACTCAAGAGCCAGGAGGAAGCTCTGAGCACAGCCAGTTGAGTTCCCAAAACCAACCAAACCAAAGCAAACCAAACCAAAAAGTATCCGAGAGATAGCACAGCGGGTAACATGCTTGCCTCGAAGGCTGCTGACCTGTGTTGTTGGATCTCCAGGACCCCACGGGGTCCCCCGAGCACGACCAGCAGTGATCTCAGAGCACAGTGACAGGAGAAAGACCTGGCACTGCCCGGTGTGGCCCCAAACAAAATCAACAGCCAAATAAAGATAACCCACCCAAAAGTCTAAACGACAGAAAATCTAACAACAAAATAAAATACACAAAAGAAAAGCTAGTAATAACAAATGGGGGAGCTTATTCTTGGGGGCCAGAAGGAGCCTTTTGCCAAGACCCCAAGATGAGCTTGCGCTCCTTCGTGTTCCACCCGCAGTCCCCCAACCCTTCCTTCCATGGGAGGCGGACGCCATTGATCCTTTCAGCAGCATTTGGGGATCCCTGAAGGGGCTGAGCCTGAGAGGGGACCCCGGGGGGGGGGGGGTCTCACGTTGTCGAAGAAGGCCCTGCAGTGCTCCGAGATGGCCCCGAAGAAAGTGCCCAGGTCTCCCTCACGGAGTTGGTCCAGGAGCTTGGCCAGGGCATCCATGGCCTCGGACGTGATGCTGGCACTGGCCGGCTCCTGCAGGGCACTCAGACACTTCTCCAGCAGGAGCTTCCGGTACTGTCGCACCTGCCAGCACCCGTGTCAGTGCCCCCGTGACCCCTGCCTACCAGCACCCACCGTCAGTGACCCCCTGACCCTTACTTATCAGCACCTCCCCGTCAGTGAGCCCCTGACCCCCACCTGCTAGGAACTCCCCATGAGTAACCCCCTGACCCCCATCTACCAGGACCCACGGTCAGTGACCCCCAAACCCCCCAGCCAGTACCCACCATCAGTGCCCACCTGACCCCACCTGCCAGAACCCTCCATAAGCACCTCCTGTAACTCCCACCCACTAGCACCCACTGTCAGCACCTCCCTGCGATTCCCACCAGCCAGCACCACCGCCAGTGACCCTCCCATGACCCCACCTGCCAGTACCCACTGTCAGCAACCCCCTGACCCCCTGGCTAGTACCTACCATCAATGACCCCCCATGAGCCCCACCTACCAGCACCCACCATTAGTGACCCACATGAACCCCACCCGCCAGTACCGACAGCAACCCCTACGGCCCCACCTGCCATCACTGCCCCCCTGTACCCCCACCCACCAGCACCTGCCATCAGCACCCCCAGTGCCTCCACTACACCCGCACTCGCACGGCCCCATTCCCCGCTTCCCCCTCCCAGGGTCTGGGGCCACCAGGACCTTCTTGGGGGCGCCCAGGGCCATGTTGCCGAGGGCGCGCAGGGAGAGCACCCGCAGGACGCCGTCCTCCTGCTCCGCGCCCCTCTCCAGCGCCCGCACCGTGGGCCTGAGCAGCTTCTCCTGGCACAGAACTGGCTTGCGCATGAACTGCAAAGGGGAACTTGACACAGTTACCCCCCAGCCCGGCCCCTGCTCTCAGCGCCCAGACAGGGTGCCTGGCTCTCTGCAGCACCCAGAAGGGTAACCCTGGGGGCGGAAGGTCGTTCTGAGCCCACGGTCCCCCTCCCCACTGCAAGTCACTGCACATTCTCGGGACCTCAGTTTCCTCATCTGGGAAGAGGACTCTGGTGGGGATTAGACCAGGAAAGGTGGGGGTATCACTGAGGTCTGGGCTATGGGCATGGTGGGACGCTGCCATTGCTGCCTGGGAGTGCATTTTACTCTCGTGGACTTATCTGGGACCAGTGTGTGTGTGTGTGTGTGTGTGTGTGTGTGTACGCGCACGCGCATGTGTGTGTCCATGCACACATGCGTGCATATACACACAAGTGCCTTAATTATCTGGAGGGGTGATTCTCCTCCCAGAGTCCCCATTGGGAACTTCCACAGAAGTTGGACCCTGGTGAGAAGTGGAGGTGCCCTCCTGTGGATGCCAGGCGGTGGCGGACACACACCACACCCTATACCTGAGGCTGCCACACACCAACACGCAGGCTGTGTTCCTGCCGCTGCTCCCAGATTCCAGCAGAAGCCCTTGAGGGGTGATCCCGTCCCCCGAGAGGAAGACCCGTCCCCACGCCTGGCTCAGTCTCACCTCCACGCAGACAGCCGTGCTGCTGATGCGACAGCTCCGCTCCTCCGAGTCCATGCCCCTGAGCACCAGCTCCGACAGCCGCACCTGGTAACCCTCCATGTCACGCAAGCACAGCCTACAGAGGCAGCACCCCGCCAGGCGGGCGTGGGGACAGCTCAGATCCTGCCAGGGCTGCCCCAGGGGTCCGATTCCTATGTCACTCCCTCCCCTATCCTGGAGTCCACCCAGTGGCCTCTGAACCTTCTCATCACCTTCTCCTTAAGCGCCTCCCTGTGTGCCCACCCTGCTTGGGACATTTCCTCCTGGTCCTGCACCCGATGCCCAGCCCACCCATGGGACAGTCCCCCCCACCCCCGCCACACCCCGCGGTGGCAGTGAGGCATTCAGTGCCTTTAGTGGGAGAGCGAGGACCTCCAGGGTGCACCTGGGCGCCCACCTGGCCAGCAGGCCCACTCCTTGCAGGAAGGTGGCGCTGTTCTCCAGCAGGGTCCACACGCCCTTTTCCTCCAGGCGCTGGGCCAGCGGCTCGTCCCCTGCTCTCCTGAACAAAAGCCGCATGGACTTGGTGGTGACCCTGCGAGGAGGCGAGCGCGTCGGGCAGCAGCTCCCACCACCAGCAGCCACAACGCCCCTACAGGTGACTGAGCACAGGTCTCTGCAGTGGGTCCCAGCGCCTGGGCCAGGGGGGCGTCTGCACATCCTCACCACCACTCCATGCAATGAATCAGCTTCCAGTAACTTCTCACCAGGAAGAGGAGGAGGCAACCCCTGGGAAAAGGGAACTTCCGGAAACCCTGATTGCATGGAGGTCCCATGAGGCCAGGGCCAAGCTTGAGGTCAGTCCAAGGCAAGACCACGCCCAGTCTCTAGGCAGACCACGCCCAAACCAAGCCACACCCAATCGCGACCACGCCCACCGACGACCACGCCCACCTCTGGCCACGCCCACGCGAGGCCACGCCCAGCGGGAGATTATCCCGGAGACCCAGCCCAGCCCTGCCACGTCTTTGGAGGGCACCTCTGCAGATTGACGTCTTCGGGTAGGGTCCCCGAGTGCACGATCCTCCAGGTCTTCAGCACAGGCGAGAGGGCCTCAGGCCCGTGGCTGACGCTGAGCTGCAGCAGGAGGGTGTAGACGAGGTCTGGGAAGAGGTCCGGCAGCTTTTCGTCCTTGTCCAGCCTCTCGAGGAGAAAGTGGATGGTGCAGAGCGTCTGCGGAGGGGTTAGGGGGTGGGGGTGTCAGGGCACCCACGCTCACACACAGGCCCCTGCCAAGCCCCGGCCCACCGCCACCGCTCACCATCAGTGGATCCACCGCAGCCAGACGCCAGACGTCGGCCTTGGACGTGGGGGTCACTCTCGGGGAGAAGCGCACCTGCAGGCGGCCCATCAGCCCCCAGAGCATGGTGCGAGCATAGGGCGTGTTCTCTGCCACCGCCAGCCACACCTCCTTCAGGTGGCTACGGAGAAGGGGCAGGGCTGAGGACTGCCTTACTGGCAGGGAGGGCCCCCAAAGCTCTGGGCAGAACCCCAGGAAGTGCCTGGACAGGAGCTGGGTGCTCCAGCCTGGGGAGGCAGGGCAGGCCACCAAAGGTAGTGGGCCACGGGACCCGGGATTCGCTTCTACTTCAGCCTCTTGCTCTGCACCTTGGGGGGACTGAGCTCACAGCAGGCTGGACTCAGGGAGGCCCCCGGGTACCCTCCAAGAGTGTCTGGATGCTGGGTTTGGTCAGGTCAGTCCTCGGCAGCCTGTGGACATAGCTGCCCCATCCGTCCCGCACACCTCAGCGGGGTGCTCCCACCTGCCCACCCCACACAAGAGGACCAGTCCTCCTGACCCCCAGTCCCAGCCAGAGACCAATTGAGAAGGACCTGGCCCAGGAGCCGAGAGTCATGGCTGGTGTGCATGGCCACGGGGAGGGGCTTCTAAAGACACAAGCTCATAACCTCAAGGGGGCCGTGGACCCTACTGACCCAAAAGAATGGCGTGAATGGCTGGATTAGGGGGCTGGGGTTAGAAGGAGGGGCTTGTGGGCAGGAATGGGAGAGGTGAGCTCAGGGTGAAGCCAGAAAGCAGGGTGTGGTCACCCCCGAGGTGAGCGGGAAGGACCTGCTGGGCCAGGGAGTGACCAGCAGAGCCAGACACAGCCTGTGAGGCCCAGACGCAGGACTGGAAACACCAAGATCGTGAACAGCTGTGGCCACATGGCCACGAAAACCAGGCTTATGGAGGTGCCACCCTGGCTGCCAGTCACTGACCCTCCTTCAAGCCAGAGGTCTGGGCTGCCCTCGCCAAGTTCCAGGTCCCACAGGCAGCCCCGAGAGACTGAGTTCACTCTTTTCTACCCAGACTTTGGGGGGTGGGTTTGGTCTGGGGGCACTTTAGCGATGCTCAGGGCTTACTTCTGGCTCTGCACTCAGGCATCACGCCTGGTGTGGCTCAGGCCCCATCTGGGATGCTGGAGGTCGAACCTGTGTCGGCCACGTACAAGGCCAGCGCACTCGTCACTGCACTATCGCTCCGGCCCCTCCGCTCAAACTTTCTAAGGTGGCAGCCGCCACGATCTCTGCACGGGCACTTCCGTCTGCAGTGCCACCTTGGTGCTGGGGACACCAGCATCTTCCCATCTCTGGAACCTCCCCGAGGTATCCCAGACCGTCCCAGACACCCACCATCTGAGCCACATGGCCAGGCGTGGCACTCCCAGCTGGGTGCAAAGGTGGTGCAAAAAAGAGGGTGTGGTTTTACCATGAGGCCCCGAGGGGCTTGGGGTTCTGCACTTGGGGCACTGGGCCCTCACTTCTCCTCTCCGTGTGCAGCCGAAACGGAGGAGGGACGAATTAGGGAGCTGGTCTCCAGCACCCTGGGGGACTGTGTCCTGGGGGAAGTGTCCTGGAGAAACCCAAACGAGGCTATCCAGAAACTTTGTCCTGCAGCAAGCAAGGAGAGGTGACCCGGGACTTCTCCTTGCCAGGACAGGGTCGGGATTTCAGCTCCATGGCACGGGGGCTCCAGACCCAGGTTCCCCCAGAGGAGAAAGGGGGGGGACAGGAAGTGAGACTGAGTCCTATAGGTGCCCGGGGACGCACAAGGGTGGCGACTCGGGCTTGGTCAGGCTGCAAAAGCCAGATGGGGGGAGGGCAGGCGATGGCCATGGGGCACCCACCTCTCCATGGGCAGCGGCTGTCTGAGGAGCGACGTGAGCACGGTCTCCTGGTGGTAATGTGCCAACAGGAGGACCCCCTCGACGAGGAGACGCCTCACCTCAGGCTGCTCCACCACGGGCAGGTGCACCAGGATGGCGCCCAGGATCTCGGCCACCTGGAGGGCAGGGGGGTCACTGGGCACCACGGGTGGCTGTTCTCACCCCCGGCACCACTGGACACAGAGCCAGAAGGCATTCCCTGTCAGCCTCCCTGGGTCTCCTGCTGTCTAGACCATCTTCCAGGTGTTTGGTTCTTTCTAGAACATCTAGAACTTTCTGGGGCCAAAGCGATACACAGTACAGTGGGTAGGGCACTTGCCTTGTGTGTGGCCAACCCGGGTTCCATCCCTGGTGTTACGAAGGGTTTCCCCAAGCCCGCCAGGAGCAGAGAGCCAGGGGTAAGCCCTGAGCACCACCAAGTGTGTCCTGCCACCCCCGCAAAAAAACACCATCTAGAGCTTTCTAGAGTTTCTCCTCGTCCTCCTGGCCCCCAGACAGGGGTCCTGCCCATGCGTCCGCCATCACCTTGTCCTCCAGCTCCTTGGCCCGCATCTGGAGGAAGGTGCAGATCCAGGTGACCGAGGCCCTGTCGTGCTGCGGGTCCATGGCCCCGATGTTCTCACACAACTTCTGCACCAGCGACACCACCTCGTCGCAGTTGAACTCCGGGCACGCCACCTGCAACCCCGACAGCCGCTGGGGCCCCCGCGCTCCACCCTACACCTGCCCCCGCTCATCACCTGGGGACCCGCCTCTTCTCCCCAGCGACCCCTCCTCTCTCTGACCAGCCCTCCTGCCTCCCCACCCAGCCTCTCCAAGGCCTCTCGCCTCGCCCCGACATTCTCCCTCCTTCAGCTGCTCCAGGATGGCCCTGGCCCTCAGGCAGCGGTGCCCTTGCACCCCCCAACCCCGGAAGTCTGGGCAGCTCTGGGCAGTGGGACCACATTCTCCCTTGGGCGCCTCCTGGGCACCAGATGTAATGGGTGTTTAGAGGCAGAGGGGTGCCGGGAGCCTTGGCCGCAGACAAGGATGGGGTCTCTGTGGGGCCACCCAGCCGCCCACCCTGCTGGGCACCTTGGCGATTCGAGATGATGCCCCGAGAATCACATCCGTGTCGGAGCTCCGGAGGGTCTCCTTACAGCGCTCCAGTTCCTGCTCCTTGGAGGTGCCCCACGGGGAGCATGTCTGGCTGGCTGTAGGGAACCCCATTCCCAGTCAGGGGTGGGCGCGGGTCAGCCTCTGGCCCCTTTCCTTACACTGCGTCCACCCACAGCTCAGCCGCCTGCCCTCAGGGAGCCTTCTGGGACACGCTCCCGTCTCCCCTCTCCCGTCCCCACGCAACGGCATCCCCAGAGCTCAGTGATGGCTATTTTTGCTTTGCCTGTGGGATACCAGCTGACCACAGCCTGGTAGAGACCCTCAGGGCTCAGCATGTGCCCTCCTGGACTAAATGAGGCTTTCCTTCTAGAAGCTTCTATGGCCTTCTCTGAGCAGTGCTCCCTCCACCAACTCTGTGAGAAGCCTTCTTCGTAGAACAAGGCCAGGTCCTCCCACCCCACTGTCCCCCTACCGTGGAGGTCCAGCAGAGTGGACAGGACGTCGGTGGAGGTCATGCGGGTTTTACTGTGGGAGTCGCAGGTGCATGGGGCGATGAGGCCGACCAACATGCCGAACTGGCCCAGCTTGAGGGGGATCTGCGGGCGGGAGGCGCCCACTCAGGCCCGGCTGCTCATACATGGGAGAGGGAGGGCCTGAGAGGGGACTCCTACTCCGAAGACACCCCTTACTGAGGAGGGGGCAGGGGCCACCATTCTCTGTCCCCGAGGGACACCTGGCCAGACCCTCCAGGGTCCCAGAGGACCGCCTGGGTGGTGTGATAAGGGCCAGGTCCCAGGTGTGGGCCCCCGTTGACCCAGTCCCAAGCACCCTGTGTCTCGTGTCAGAGCCTCTTTCAGGAACTTCCTGGAAACTGTGTCAGAGAACATGGGACAGGCATGTACTCAGCATCTGCTTCTATAAACCAGCCCCACTGAAATCTCATGTCCAGTCCCCTGGTTCCCCCCTCACACCAGCCCCAAGAGTGAGGCTGTTGAGGCACCGGGAACTGAAGACACCATCATCCTCTGAGGCCTGAGGCCTGTCCCCTCACTAGACACCATAGTCCTCTGAGGCCTGAAGCCTGTCCCCTTACCACATGCCATAGTCCTTTGTGGTCTGAGGCCTCATAGTCTCCTCACCATATACCATGGTTCTCTGAGGCTTGAGGCCTATCTCCTCACCCAAATAGCATAGTCCTCTTGAAGGTTTCCCCTCATCTGACCCCCGTCTATCATCCTCCTTGCCTGTGCCACCACAGGCATCATCCTTGGTCCTACCAGCCTGGAAGCATCTTCCTCAGGGGCCCTACGGGGACATGGGAGTGGGCTGACTTGGCTTCAGAGGGGCTCCCCTTCTTTGCAGATCAGACCGGCGACCACGCCTGGCTCCTCACACACTCACACAGACGCCAACGCTCTGCACGTAGATCTGCAGGAGCCTGAGGTGGAGGTGCATGGCCTTCTCCCGCTCCCAGTCCTTCTCTGACAAGATCCACTTCTCCAGGAGCTGTGAGGGACCCCAATACAGATGAGGGGCATTAAAATGCTGGGGCTGGGCCCACCTCACCGTTGTCACTCTCCCTCCCCCAAGTCTGACTTTCAATGCTTCTGGATGCTTCTGGTATTCTCCCCTTGCCCCACCAGTGGGCTGAGGAGGCTGTGGGCAGAGTGGGCCACCAACAGGGAAGAAGGCAGACCTGGCTCTGCCACACATATCTGTTTGCAGGTGGCCACTGTGTCCTGCACTTAGAAACCTGCCTCCCAGAGCTTAGAGCACAGATGGGACAGGGACAGGGGACAGAAAAGAGGAATTAATCCATGTGAGTCGGAGTCTCAGGACCTCATCCTGGTAACTGAGCCAACAAGAGTATAGAATTGCTATACTATACAGGAAATCACCTCCAGAGCCCACTCAACACTTGTACTTTCCAAGTACGTGTGGAACAATCTCTGACCCCAGCCATCACTGGGCATCATCTAGGCCTCAGCTGATTTCAAAAGGTTTGGATCACACCAAGTTCTGGATCAAGCTTCTATGGAGGGAAATGAGGAATCCAGACCAAAAAGGTCCCCGGGGCAATCCTGCAAACTGTGGGCATTTCTAAACAAGCCTGGGTCAAAGGAGAACTCAAAGAAGATGACAACGTGTTTCAAGGTGAAATCAAGTCAGAACCTGTCTCATCAATACTGGAAGGACGGACACAGCGGCCCAGAACAAAGAGAGGACTCAGCTGCTGTGCTCCAGATTGCCAGCGAGGCCGGTGGCCAGGGCACAGAATCTGAGACAGGAAGACACTGGTGGAGAGAGAAGAAGCACCAGTGCAGCACACCCAGTCATCCAGAGGCCGACCCCATGGACAAAGTCAACTTATTTTTGACAAAGATAACACAAGGGAGAAAAGGCTTCTAGCCACCAAATGGTACTGGAGAAATTGGCTATTCATATGCTAAGAAAGGGTCTGGAGCAATAGCACAGCGGGTAGGGTGCTTGCCTTGCAAGCAGCCAACATGGCCAACCCAGGTTCGATTCCTCCGTCCCTCTCGAAGAGCCTGGCAAGCTACCAAGAGTATCTCGCCCGCATGGCAAAGCCTGGCAAGCTACCCATGACGTATTCGATATGCCAAACACAGTAACAACAGGGTCTCATGATGGAGACGTTACTGGGCCCGCTCGAAAAAATCGATGAACAACGGGAAGACAGTGACCATGCTAAGAAAGAAAAAAAGAAATGAAATAAACATTGATCCATACCTCACGCTGTATCCTAAACTAATCTCAGAATAGATTGTGGATCTGTTTTGGTAAAACCCGAAACTCCAGACCCCGAGAAGGATATCTTTGCGACCTGGAGTCTGACAAAATTTGTCAGATCTGAGACCAAAAGTAGGATCCATGAGAGAAAAGGAAGGTCAAGTTACGTGGCATCAAAATTTATACAAGTGCTCTACAAAGACACTGACAAGGAAGAATATGAAAACAAATCTCAGACTGGGGGAAATGTTTGCACATCACACATCTGATTCCACAGATGGATGTTCAGAACTTAGAAAGCCTCTAAACACAGTAATAAGTATTTAAATAATCCAATTTTTAAAGCCAGCAATTTGGCAAGAGTTAAAGTGCTTGCCTTGCGTCTTGGTAATCCCCAGCCCTGTATGATCTGAACACCAGCAGGAGTGACCCTGAGCACCGAGACAGGAACAGCCCCCCCCAAAAAATATTGGTGTGGCACAAAACCCCAAACCCCTAATCCCTCCAAAGAAATAAAACCAGCAGTGAGTATTCCTGAAAATGCCAAGACAAAGACCAAAGAAGTATGGCAGCTGCGTGCATGACCCCAAGCAGCTCTTGGACAAAGGAGATCAGAGGGTCACGTGAAAGCTGAATGTGGCCTAGAGATTAGCCTACAGCATGGGGGCGGGGTGACACTTCCTGCTCCCTGCTTCTGACCACAGCACCCACAGCTAAAGTGTGCAATCCCCACAGTGAGCATCACAACCAAGAGATAAAAGTCAAAGACAGAAAAAGAAATACATATATGCACATATATGTATTTATTATGTTCTTATGTGTATGTATATATACATATACATCGGGCTGGAGCGATAGCACAGCAGGTAGGGCGTTTGCCTTGCACACAGCTGACCCAGCCAACCTGGGTTCGATTCCTCCACCCCTCTCGGAGAGCCCAGCAAGCTATTGAGAGTATCTCGCCTGCATGGTAAAGCCTGGCAAGTACCTGTGACGTATTCGATATGCCAAACACAGTAACAACAAGTTACTGGGCCTGCTCAAGCAAATCGATGAACAACAGGAGGACAGTGCTCCAGTACCACATATATATCAGAACATTAATAACTGGGAATCTGGGTGATGAGGAGGATACAATGGTTTGTGATTTCGTGAGGCAGAGTCTCCGGCCCCCGCACCTGGCTGTCCTCACCGGGGTCCCTTGGAGGGGAGTGGGTTGAGTTTCCCTCCCCGCCCCGACCAGGGCTCCAGCAGTCGAAGACCTCCAGAACCAGCCACAACCATGCTGAGACCACTCTCCGCACACCTGAAGGTACCGGCAGAGGAACAAAGGCATGCGGGTCCTGGGGCTGAGATCTCCAAGCCTGCTCGGATTGGGGCTGAGCATCCTCCACCCAGATCCTCCAAATTCCAGTAGGCGGGGGTCACACCCACCAACTGGCCCCCTGGCGCCATGTAATCCCATCAACGGCCAAGACTCAGAGACTATAAAACCCAGCTCTCAGAAGCGCGCGGCTGCGAATGCATCTTATTGTGACATCTTATTATCCCATTCCTACTTTGGACAAACTGGCAGGCTACCGAATGTAGCCTGCCCACACGGCAGAGTCTGGCAAACTCCCCGTGGCATACCCAATATGCCAAAACCCAGTAACAATGATGGGTCTCATTCTCCTAACCCTGAAAGAGCCTTGAATATGGCACTTTTTAAAATATTTCAGGGCTAGGACAAAGGAGAAGTTACTGGGGCCTGCTTGAGGCAATCGACGAACAACAGGATGGTCGTGATCATGATCGTGAGGCCGAGAAAGAACCTCATATGCGCCATGACAGGCTGCACTTCAGCAAAAGAAGCAGTAGGCCTAAGTTTCTATTTCCCCTCTCAGAGAATTCCAAGACTGTCCTTGGCTGAAGCTGGAAATCCCCTAGACACCTCTAGCCAGTCCCATCATAAGTAGGATATCTCTGGGCACAGCAGGTGGGCATGATCAGTTAGCTCACAGAGTCGCAACTCTTCGGAAAACTGCCAATTGTGACCAAGCCAAGTGCCAACTTCACTTATGTACAACTTTGCAATTTCAAGTTCCTGGTTGGGGTCCTTGTCAAGACTCCACTATGTTGGATGCGGCTCGGACCCTGGCTCGAGCCAGCGATAAACGTTCCTTTGCATTTGCATTCTCACTTGTGGAACTTGTCTCTCTGTGAACGGGAAACCCAGAACCCAGGTATAACCATTTACTGCCCCTTCCTCCCTCCAGAGGGACTGGCCGGGGCAGGCAGCCTCTCCCCCAAGCAACTCACGTGCACCATGTCCTGGAGGCCCCTGGGGTCCAGCTGCCGCTGCATGAGACCCTCCATCAGCTGCTCCAGGGCACTCAGGGCATTTGTATAGAGGGTCTGCAACCAAGAGAGGGGAGGGCTGGGAACAATGAACTGGAATCCACACCCAGGGTCTGGAAGTAAGAAGTTCTGACCATTCCCCCTTCCCTGAGTGAGGACGAGACCTCTCTCCACACCTTCTCGGGTGACCAAAAGAGGAGTTCCTTTCACAGAGGAGGAAACTGAGCTTCTCATCCAGGTTCTCACCCAGGACCAGGACCCCAGGCAAGAGGCCTAACAGCCTAAGGTCTATCCCCACTTTCTACAGAGCTGTTGGAAGATAGTCACAAAGTCAGACTACATTTCCCAGAAGGCTTTGCATATGGATGGAGCCATGTGACCCAGCTCCAGCCAATGGAAGGGGGAAGAGGAGTTGCACGGTCCTCCAGGCTTTCAGGGACTCCAGTTGAGGTGGTTGTGGTGGGGCTTCTCTCTTGGGGTCCAGAATAAGGAAGTGGGGCAGCTCCTACTTCACCCTTCCATTGATGTCAACAGGAGTTTACTCCGGAGTGAAGGATGTTTTGTCCGTTGAGCCATAGAGATATCTGGGCTGAGCCCTTAGCATTACCTGGTGCAGGAAGGCTGCTTCCAATGAGCTGGCCCTGAGGACCTACCGTAATGGACTCGTTGTCCTCCGTGGGGGGCTGGAGAGAGATCACGGAATGGGTGCTGATTTCCATCAGCTCGGTGCTCTCCTCTGTGGAGTAGAAAGGCTTCAGTTTGCTGGGGAGGAAGCAGGGACAAGGGCCGGAGTCAGTGAGGGTGTGGGACTCCTGTCTTCCAGGTCACAGAGTGATGGACAGGCTGAGCGCCCTGCCTGGGGTCCGGGTACAACCCTGCCCAGGTGTGCGGGTAACCCCTCCCCCACCCCGTGTCCTGCAACTTCAAACCTGTTCCCGTCTGGGTGGACACTTGCCATGACACCCCTCCTTGGTCACAGCATGGCCTCTGTCCCCAGGCTGCTCCAGGCTCAGAGGAACGCTAGTCCCCTCTGACCCAGTCCAGCACCTTAGGCTCTCTGACCCCAGAGCTCGGAGGATAGCGGGGGGAAGGCGGCACAGCCTTCTGGGTCAAGTTCAGCCCTTTTGGAGTGACAGCTGCTTATCTGGCTCAAGCCACCCACCCCCGTTCTCTCTGCAGCCCCCTTATCTGTGGTTCTCAAGCCTGGCTGCACACTAGACACATTTGGGGGCTTTGTTGGGTCCCTGTGGGCAGGCCTAGGCTCTGGGGTCCATCCTTAAAGGCCTGGAGTGGGGCCGGGGCATCAGCCTTAATAGCAGCACCCCCCACCCCGTTCTATGATGCCTCCAGAACTAAGAGTCGTGATGGCACCTAAACATCCAACATCTGCCCCGCAAAGGGCTGCCCCATCCACCGAGCACTTTCCTGGGGTTCTGTTCTGCAGGTTCCACGGCACACAGAGGAACCCCTCATCCTTGTCTTAAGTGTTCTTCCTCGAGGTTCACCCTCACACACCTGAATCTGTCCTAGAATTCCCGTAGTATGTGGGCATCTTCTCCTCAAGTCTCCAAAGGGAGGCTGGAGATTAATATTCCCTCTGTCACGTGTTCCTGCTATGAGTGTAAGTGGTTCCACTAGGTTCCCCTAGGCTGCTCTGTCCCCCTTCCCAGAGAGAAGGTTCTGGAGAGAGTCCAGCCCTCGTGACAGGACTGGTCATTCCCCTCCAAGTGCCAGGAGACCAAACCCCACCAGTGGCAGAGAATTCTAGAAAGGAGCTGGCCGGGCAGACCCCACCTTCAAGGACAGCCCATTGCACACCCCCATTCTCGCCCTATCCCTCTGTGTTTCCAGGATGGTCAACCAAGGCACCACAACACTGCATGCTAAGTGGTTAACGCCAGTACTAAGACTAGTGCCAACACTGACATGAATGCTACACTAATACTAACACTAACTATGCTAGGGCTGGAGCAATAGCACAGCGGTAGGGCGTTTGCCTTGCACGCAGCCAACATGGCCAACCCGAGTTCGATTCCTCCACCCCTCTCGGAGAGCCGGCAAGCTACCGAGAGTATCTCGCCCGCACGGCAGATCCTGGCAAGCTCCCCGTGACGTATTCGATATGCCAAACACAGTAACAACAAAGTCTCCAATGGAGACGTTACTGGGCCCGCTCGAGCAAATCGACGAACAACGGGAGGGCCTTTACCTTTACCTAACTATGCTAACGCTAACACCACTGCAAACACTAATGCCTACACTGACACTAATGCTAATGTTGACATTAATACTAACATTAGCACTAATGTGTATGCTAACACTGACACTAATGCAACCACTAACATTAATGCAAACACTAATATTAATACTAACACTAACGCTAATGCAAACACTAACATTGACATCCACCCCACGCAAGAGAGGAATCTGGTGATCAAGTTCCAAGCCTCCTGGCAGGGCTCACCCACCCACTGGGATTTCATAAACGAATTATCTGCTTGTCAACCACCCACTGGTCATTCCCCTCTAAGTGCCAGGAGATCAACCCCAACCTGTGGCAGAGAATCCTAGAAAAGAATTTTGGCAGGGCAGACCCCACCTTCAAGGACAGCCCATTGCTCCACAGCTTCCCACCCCCCAGAACCCTGCTACAGAGGCAGAGAGAGAAGGGGAGCAGTGGCCCCATGACTCTGCTTCACCTCAGGTGCGCCAGGGCGTCCATGGCCATGGCCCTCACGGGGGACACCAGGCTGTCGCTGGACTCCGCCTTCATGATGTCCTGCCCGGCACAAGGAAGAGTGAACTGTGAGGGTCCCCAGGAAGGAGGAAGGGGGAGCCTAGGCCAGTAGTGACCCCCGATCAGGCCTAGGGAAGGAGGAGGGGGAGCCTGGACCAATAGTGACCCCCCCATTGTGTCCCCAGTGCTGGGTCCGGGGAGTCCTGAAGTCATGTTTTCAGAGGGTCCCCCACCTTCCTTCTTAGCAAGTACCTTTTCTGGTGACATGACTGGGCCTGGCTGGGTCATGCCCAGAACGGGACCCAACAGCATGCTTCTACCCCTTCTCAAGACTTCCACCCATGCCCCCTCAGCCCCCAGGACACCTTCAGTGCACGGGGTGGGGATAGGGCGGGAGGGACAGAAGCAGTGGCTGATGCTTCCCAGACGTGACCTCAGCTCTTCGCAAAATCAGCTTTGAGTCCAACCTGTGGCAGGCTCCCCAAGCCCCTCCTGTGGAGACCCTGGTGTACACTTATGTGAACTCAGTGGTCCAACTCCCCATGGGTCAGAGGGCAGCCACGGGCACTGTGGGCAGCTGTGCGGTGGTCCCCATCAGTGAGCCATTTCCTGGACCATGAGATCTAGTTACAAAGAGCATGCTCAGAAATCCTACCGTGGGAGGAAGCGGAAGTGGCCCAGGGTGGGCCTTCAGAGAGCCCCGCTGTCCCCCGGGACCCCCAAGGCCTGAAGGAACACAGGCTTTGAGCAAGTAAGAGGGTCAGCAGAGCTGGACTCCCAGAGTCCCTAGGATGGACCCCTGCCTGGCTCACCATGATCAGTCCAGTCAGAGTGTGCTTCTGGGAAAACTGGAAATCGCTCAGACCCTGGACATTCCTGAGGGCGTCGGTGACCTGCACGACACTCTTCATGAAGGCCATTTTCAGGCAGACGTCCTGCACGCAGACCCGGCCAGGGAAGGGCACACGGTGAGCGGACCCAGGATCTGCTCCCGCACCCTGTCTCTGCTCCGTCCTGAGCTCCAGAGGGGTCCAAGGCCCAGCTCAGTCCTCGGGAAGCCCCAGGCCTGAGGGCCACCCCAGAAGCATCGAGTTCAAAGGAACTGCCGGGATGGACAAGCCTGGAGCACTGTGCTCCCAGTGACCGGGAGACCTGGGGGGTCGCTGTTGACAGGTGCCTATATCAGTCTGTACAGGATCCTGGTGGCCGCCCCATAAATGGGCTGTGCTGGCCAAGTAGCAAGTATGGACAAGGTCATGCTTGCAAAGAGGAAGGGTATGTGCTTGCCCAGTATTGATTTTCATTTTTTAGTTACCTATTTTTTCTGTAATTTGGGGGAGTAAGGATTGGGGGCCATGCCCAGTAGTTCTCAGGGCTAACTCCCTGTTCTGTGCTCAGGAATCACTTCTGGCGGTGTTTGGGGGACCTTGTGCAGTGCCAGGAATTGACTTAACCAGGGGCAGATGCGTGTAAGGCATCAAATTTAACCCCTGGGCTCTCCAAAACCCTTTGTGTTTTGTTTTGTTTTGTTTGGGGGCAGGGCACACCTGAAGTACTTGGTGCTTCCTCCCAACTCTGTGCTCAGGGATGACCCTGTGTGGCACCCAGGATTGAATGAGGCTTCGGCCACGTGCAAGGTCAGTGCCCCCCCCAACCCGTGCTCTCCCTCTGGCCCCCACTGCAGTGGAACACACTCAGTGTGATCTTCCAGAGACCCTCTCCTCACCTGTCCTTTGTGCCCTGCAAAGACAACCCCACTTCCTGTCACTTTCGGTGGGTCTGGACCAGGTGTCAGAGTGGGGTCAGGGCAGGGAGATGAGAAAAAGGGGTGGGGGGGGTCGCTTCCTCTGGGCTGCGGTGCCGGGTACCTGACAGCTGCTGGAGAAGTGGTGGATGATCTTGGCCGTGATGGGACTGTCGGCGTGGGTGAGGAGGAGCTGCGGGTGGCAGTAGGCGGCCACAGAGCTGTACATGACCATGAGCGCGCTCTTCACTGCCTCCCGCCTCCAGGGGTGATCCTTCTAGAAGGCCAAGCAGAGGGACTGCGCTGGGGGCTCTGCTCACGTGACCACGGGAGCCTCTGAGTCATCTGAAGGGGCTTCAACTGGCTTTGTGCTGGAGATGCTCATTCATTTATCCATGCATCCATTCACTCATTCATTCAGGTCTCTTTTCTCCAATATTTGGTTTTTGGTTCTTGGTTTGGATTTGGGGCTATACCCAGCAAAGCTTGGGGGCTATTTCCATCCCAGTGCAGGAGACAAGGATCAAGGGACTCACAGCCCCGTGATGGACCCTGAGGCTCCCGCAGGCAAGGCAGGCACCCAGCTCAGCGCACTTCCTCTCCCGCTCTCGTCTGACACAGTTCAGTCCGGTAGTGGCGCAGTGACAAAGTGCCATGTCACATGCTTGAAACCTGGGTTCGATCCCCAGCACTGAGCAAAATCAATACGTCTTTATCAGGGCCCTATGACATGCTGGGCCCTGGGCAGACAGAGGTGAGCCGGTCAGGCCCTGGAACTGTGATACTTTGGACAAGGGCACTGATGCCTGGGTCACCAATTAGCAGGACTCAGGGGCTCCACATGGACAAGGCTCTCATGTGCTTGCTGGGGGCCTGTTCCGAGCCAGGGGCTCTTGGGGTGCTGGGGAACCCCTGGCAACAAATGATCTCAGCTGGTTCTCCTGGAAGATGTCCCAGGCACGGGCCCCAGCATGGCCAGTCGAGGAGGCTTGAGAGCTCGCCCTACAGGGAGTGGGGGCCACTCCCCAGTCTTCCCTCCAGTGAGCCACCCACAAGACTGAGAAGCTCCCACAGGGCTCATGGTGGTTCCGGCTGATTCCCCTGAGGCTCAATGAGCCGTGGCCCTGGGCCCTGCGGTTATGGGGGCAGCTTGGAGAGTTTGACTCCTGTTTCCCACTGCCAGCTGCCAGCCCGGGGTCGCGACCCTGGGGCTCCCCATTCCTCCCCGCTGATGCCAGGCTGAGCCCCAGAACCTGGAATTCTGCATTCCCAACCTGCTCTGGGCGCTCCTCCCGTGGTCTCAGGAGCCCCTGGAGATGCCCAAAAGCCCAAGCTTGGCTGGCAGAGGCTCGAGCAGTTTCATTTGCTGATCTCAAGGGGAGAAGGGGGGAGCACTTGTCCAAGAGCCACCCCAGCGCCTTACCCGCCACGCGCCAATCTGCCAGGACTGCTCTGACTCCTGGATCCGCTCCTCAAACTCGTGGAGCACATTCAGCACCGTCTTCACCTGGCCCCGGGCGCACAGGCCGAAGCAGAGAATCACACCCTGGGGGGCACCAGCCAGGGCGTGAGGGCCGTGAGCATCTCCCCACAAACACAGCGGGACACGCCAACAACGCTCACATCTCCCTGCACACAGCAACACACATGCACACACATTCGTGCATGTGTGTATATACACGTGCACATGTATGTTTACTCACAAACATGTACGTGTGCACGCACGGACATGCATGCACACCATGTACTCACACATGATACCGGCACACTTGAAGACACACTTACAAGGCACATATAACCACGTGTATATGTACATTGGGCACATACATTTATGCCACACACGTGTCCACACACACCCACACGCACACACAGCGTATGTGCTCCCGCCCGCATCCCATGAGGGTCCAGGGCTCACCTCCCGGTCAAAGTCGTTGCTGTAGTCTGTCTTGTACAGCAGCTCCAGGAGAAGCACCTCCACCTTGTCGGCCTCCAGGCCGGTGGCCAGGGTGAGGCCCAAGGCCCGGTACAGGAAGCCCTGCAGAGTCAGAGGGACACAGGGAAGTCAGGCCACCTGGAGGCGCTGCCGTGAGGGCGCTCACCAGAGAAGGCTCCACATTTAAAAGGAAAAACAAAACACAAAGTGCAGTCATCTGAGCATCTTCTCCAAAGTCACTATGAGTGGCCGGACTGCCTGGCACTGGGCGAGTATAGCCCGTTTGGGAAACCGCAGCAGGAACTTTGTACATGCAGGCAAAGCAGGCAGATGGCAAGGACAGACATGTCTGGCCAGGGTGATGCCGCCAATGGGCTGAGTGCACGCATGCCATGCAGAACGTCTACGCTTCTCACTCAGAGATGAGACGTGCCAGGAGCAAGCCCTGAGCACTAATCTGGGAGTAGCCCCTGAGCACTGCAAGGAGTTAGTGCAAAAACAAAAAGAACAGACATATCATCTCATTTAATCCATAACTCTGTAAACCCAACGGTTTTATTTAGAGGTGAGGGGCAAGTGTGACTAGAAAGGCAGAATTTAAAATCAGGCACTGTCTGAGGCACCTCTTACTAGCACACAGCAACTACTGCAAAGGTGACTCACTCTTGGGGTATCCCTGACTCCAAGATTTCACTTCCCTTGGATTTTACTAATAATCTTGTTTGAGTTCCAGAAAGTACTTTCTGTTCTATAAGTTTCTTCTCCTTTCATTTTTTCCTTTATACACATATAAAGAACAATCCTAAAATTACAAAACAGCCATCAACGTGTTCTTCGAGTGTTTCCACAGATTCATTTTGCACACTAAGACTTTCAGTGTTTCCCCTGGCAGAGCAAATCCTTCTGTAAGGCACTCGGTGTTCAAACCGCCCTTTCCCCCTCTCTTTCCTCCTTCCGATCAACTTTGAAATAACTTGCCAAATTCCACAAAATGGTCACATTTATACACATACGCGAGCGCACGCATGTGCACACACACACACACACACACACAATCCTTCTATGCAATGGAAAAGGGAGCCAATATGCCCTGCAGAGAAATCTGAGACAATGGACACCTCACTTTACAGGACTCAGTGTTGGCACCCCACTCTCCTGGGACAAGAGGTGGTGCCCGTATCCTCTGGGGTTCCCATAACCATGTGAGAAGTTGAGTGCTTTGGTCCAGTTCTCCATCATTCATACAATGACTCTCTCATTTGATTGTAGAATTTACATTAGCTATTTTGAATGGAATCTTCTTCTTTTCACTACACTGTAGTTTGGGCTTTATTTGATATAAAGCTGATGGCTGGGGCTGGAGCAATAGCACAGCAGGTAGGGTTTTTGCCTTGCACATGGCCGATCCAGGTTAGATTCCCAGCATCCCATATGGTCCCCCGAGCACTGCCAGGAGCAATTTCTGAGTGCATGAGCCAGAAGTAACCCCTGTGCATCGCTTGGTGTGACCCAAAAAGAAATTTAAAAACCTGATGGCTTTGACTCGTGACTTTTGTGGAAGACTGGGCGTCTGCCTGTAGGTTTGACCTGGAGGCACCCACTTGGCCATGAAGAGATTGGTGGCAGCTGGGGGCAGTCTCAAGGAAGTACCTTCAGCTGCTGCCTCTCGATTGTACCTTTTGGAGTTATCTGGCTAACGTTCCCTATGCTAATTGAATTACTGCAATATAACTGAACTGTATTCTTTTGCTTATTAGATGTCACATACAACTTTTCTATAGATGGATATCTCAGTATGAACTACTGTTAATATCAAGACACACAGATATGTGGAGTTTGGCTTATCTCTGTAAGATATGCTTTGTTAGTTGCTGCTTTACATATATTCACCTATAAAAGGTGTATATTTCAAAATGCAGATCTTAGCCAAAAGGCCAAGAAGCAAATAATGGGTATTTATTTGAACAAACACAGTTTCTGGCTGGAACCTATAAAAATCTTTTCTTTAAACAATTTTGTTGAGATATAATTCATATATCACTGAGATATAATTCACATACCCATGTAATGAGCAATTACAAGTTTAATGTATACTTAGGGTTATGAAGCCATCTTCACAATCTAAGTTTGGACTATTATCTCTCCACTGGAAAAAAATTCCATATACAGGCAGTCACCCCACAGTCCTTGCCCACCCCTTCCCTGTGCCTGGTACCAAGGGTCCACTGTCTGGTTTGTCCATTCTGGACATATAAATAAATAAAAATCATAGACTATGTGCTCTTTCATGTTCTGTTGCATCTAGTTCCTTTATTACATATTCAAGGACCATAATTTTTTATCATAAATTTGTCTTAGTACAGCTAAATACTATTCTGTTTTATGGACATACCATATTGAGTTTACCTGTTTAGCCATGGCTGAACATTTGAGTTGTACTGCTTTGGGGGGGCTATATGAGTAATGATACCATGAAAGTTGTCATACAAGTTTTCTGTGTGGGTATTTATCTTTTACTTTGGCATCACACCCAACAGTGCTCAGGGCTTACTTCTAGCTCCATGCTCAGGGATCAGTCATAGCAGAGCTCAGGGGACCATATGTGGTCCTGGGGATAGAACCTGGGTCAATCTTGTGCAAGGCAAGAGGCCTCCCCACTGTCCTACCCAGCCCCCGAATGTGCATTTCCATCTCTCCTGGGCAAATATAAGTGGTAGAATGGTGATATTTGTATTTAGCACTTTGGGGAAAATGTCAAACTTTTTAAAAGCCATGGTACCATTTTACATTTATGACAGCGATAGGAAGCCTCAAACTTCTCCAATTCTTACCCAATACTTATCATCTACCATTCTTATTTCAGCCTCTCTGATGGGCATGAAGTGGTATCTCGCTGCGGTTTTAATTTGTATTTCCTTAAGAAGAACAACCCTATACAAAACTTTCCATTTGTATGCACTTTTTGAAGAACAGTGTCTCTGGGCGCATGTTTAAAAATTGATGCATTTGTCTCTTAATTGTTGCTTGAGGAGATCTCACTATATTCTGGATACAAACCCTCCTGGGAAGATTTTGACTGCCCCCCCCCCCCTTATTTTTTCTCAGTGAGTTTTTTTTTTCTCAGTGAGTTTTTTCTTCTTCATGTTTTTCAGGTCACATCCAGCTCTGTGCCCAGGTACAGCAACGTGGTATTGGGGGTGCCTGGGCACCGATCCTCTGAGCCATCTCCTGCTTCCTTCACCCTTTTCTTTTTTCCAGCATCCAAAATCTCTAATTGGAAATCAGGATCCGGGTTAGTTCTTGTAGCTGCGGCTGACCCTTCTGCCTCTGGCACACTCAGACTTGTGGCCCCTGAAGCACACGCAGTGGTTGGTGTGGCTTTTTGGGGTGCCAGAAGTCTTGCCAAAGTGCCCTTACACCTCCCGGCCTTTGTGGGGCCAGAGAGTGGACAGGTCCACAGCGTTTGGGGGAGTCCAGGCCAGCTGGTTAAAAGTTAAGATTTTGCCTCTGGCCTTGAGGATGCCATGGGGGCCGGTCGGTCACATGCAGGGCACATGCCTTCAGTCTGGAATCTCCTGGATGCGTACATCATCTGTGACTGTCCCCAAGCCCACGGCTGTTTTGACTTTCTGGCCAGGAAGCTTCATCTTGTGGATCACACAAGGCAGGGACAGAGGCAGCTGGTGGGGTCCAATGCATGAGAAGAGTCTCTTCAACACAACCTGGTTGAACATGGACTCGGTGCCTGGTTTGCCCTGTGTAAGGCCAGCGCCCCGCACACTGTGCTGTGTTCCTGCCAGCGCCGCCCTTTTGGCTGCATTACCCTCGGCTGACAGAGACCAGTTTGATTTCAGCAATATTTGTAACTATTGTTTGTGATGCCTGGGGATTAGCTCAGGGCTCAAGCATGCAGCATCACACACTCCACCACTCAGCCACAATGTTTAGAGATTTTTCTTAATACTAAAAAAAAAAAAATAACCTTTCGCTTTTTCCCCCCGGACAGCAAGATGGCGGCCGCCTTGAAGCTTTTTGGAAAGCCAGGTATGAGCCGGTCATGACGGGGGCGACTGAAACCTCATGGGAAGGGGGGCGTTCCCAGCTCGTCTTCACGCCCTAGCGAGGTCACGAGTTGCCCCCCACAAGCGGCTCTCCGGCACGGCCATGGCTCCAGAGCCACAGAAACCAATCTCATAATTATCTGACTCTCCCAGGCTTAATAAGTAAAATATCAGAAATCCAAAATCATTTGGTTCTTGTAATCAGCTGTAGAAAACAAATTATTTCACAATGCCTTTTCAGCAGGTCTGATTTGGGGGTGTAAACTCTAAATAATAATGGTGCATCTCGTCGAAACAATGAATCTAATCAAAGCAGATGGAGTGTTAACTAGAATTCATCTGTCTCACAGGCATTGGGAGGGTTGGGAGGGAGGTATATTGGGGTTCTTGGTGAAAAATAAGTACTGACGAAGGGAAATGTGTTTGATGATTGCATGACTGAGACTTAAACCTGAAAGCTTTGTAACTTTTCCCACAGTGATTCAATAAATTAATAAATTTTTTTAAAAAAGGAAAAGAACTCAATAAAAAAAATCCTAGCCCTAAAAATAAATAAATAAATAAATAACCTTTCATGATGAAATAGCCTCCTGGGATCCCACCTGTGTTTCTGGAAGAGCAGGGCAGGTGTGACTCTGCCCAGTGGGCTGTCGGTGGGGGGAGAAGACGGGGGAAGTCCAGTCCCAGACCCCCCACCCAGCCTTATCTCCCTCATGGCTGAGCTGGGACCCAGGAACTCCTGCCAGCCATTGTTAGCCTCACCCTCTCACTGTGCACAGTCTTGCTCCTTCCTGCTGGGCTTTCTAGGGATCCCTTGAGAGGGGGATGAGGTGAGTAGGGGGGAAGGAGCTGAAGAGAACCCCCCCTGCAAGTAGAGGGTGAAGTGAGCAGGGGGCTGGGAGTTAAGAACACACATGGCCTCCTCATGAGAGGGGGATGAGGTGAGCAGGGCATTGGGTTCTGAGGAGAGGGCACCCCCGCCCCCGTGAGCGAGAGCTGTGTGTGGGGGGGACAGTGGCTGGGAGTTGAGGAGAGAGCACCCCTATGAGTGAGAACTGGGGTGAGCAGGGGTCTAGTAGCTGAGGAGAGGGCACCCTCCCCCATGAGTGGGAGTTGAGGTGGGGGGCTGGGAGCTGGGGGGTGAGCACCCCATGAGTGGGAGTTGAGGTGAGCAGGGGGTGGGGAGCTCAGGAGAGGGGACCCCATGAGCGGGAGAGGAGGTGGGGGGGATGTTGGGAGCTGAGGAGAGGGCACTCCTGTGAGCAGGAGCTGAGGTGAGCAAGAGGCTGGGAGCTTGAGGAGAGGGCACCCGTGAGCGAGAGCTGAGGTGGGGGGCTGGGAGCTGAAGAAAGGGCACCCCCGTGAGCGGGAGCTGAGGTGAAGGGGGGTCTGGGAGCTGAGGAGAGGGCAACCCATGAGCCGGAACTGAGGTGGGGGGGCTGGGTGCTGAAAAGAGGGCAGCCTGTGAGCGGGACCTGAGGTGAGCAGGGTGCTGGGAACTGAGGAGAAGGCACCCCTGTGAGCGGGAGCTGAGGTGAAGAGATGAGGAGAGGGCGCCCTGTGAGCTGGAGCTAAGGTGAGGGGGAGGCTGAGAGCTGAGGAGAGGGCAACCCATGAGCCGGAACTGAGGTGGGGGGGCTGGGTGCTGAAAAGAGGCAGCCTGTGAGAAGGACCTGAGGTGAGGAGGGTGCTGGGAGCTGAGGAGAGGGCACCCCGTGAGGGGAAGCTGAGGTGGGGGGGTGGGCTGGGAGCTGAGGGGAAGGCACGCGGGTTCTCAGAAAGAAAACCCAGAGCTAGATCAGGGGCGCTGCGGTCTTGCTCCAGGGGTCCCGGGCTGGGGTGGGGACCCACCTTCTCCAGGGAGGGGCTGTCGAAACTCTCAATCTGGTTGTTCAGCTCCTTGCTCAGACGCAGGCTCCAGGTGGAACCCCGAGTCCTCTTGAGGGAGCTCCTCAGAAACTGGTGTGGAGGGGCAGGGGGTGTGGGTGGGCGGTGCCGAGGCCCCCCAGCCTGGTCCCCTCAGCCCCTTCCCCTGGGTCGACCCCACGCGGCGCTGCTCCCGGAGCGGGTGGGTCTGGGCGGGCTGTGACTACGGGGGGACTATTTGGGGGCTGTCTGGAGCACGCGATCCCCTGGGCGGAAGGTTCTCCGACCCCGACAGCCGACCCACGCTGGGACTCGGGGCTCCCGCCCTCCCCGCCCCGGCCCCCCTCGTCACCTGGATGAGCTTCTCCTCCCACAGCTTCTGGCTCCAAGTGAACTCGGTATGTTCTGCCGAGACAAGCACGGCGTCCGTCCGCTGCTCCCTGCACGGGCCCGGGGCTGGCCCCAAACCCGCCACGCCCCGCCACGCTCCCGCCACGCCCCCAAAACCACTTCGCCACGCCCTTGCCATGCCACGCCCCTGCCACGCCCCCAAACCCGCTCAGCCACGCCCCTTCCACGCTACGCCACGCCTCTGCCACGCCCCAAACCCACTCTGCCACGCCCCCGCCACGCCACGCCCCCAAAACCGCTTCGCCACGCCCTTGCCATGCCACGCCCCTGTCACGCCCCCAAACCCGCTCAGCCACGCCCGCAAAGCACTCAGCCACGCCCCCAAACCCGCTCAGCCACGCCCCTTCCACGCCACGCCACGCCTCCGCCACGCCCCAAACCCACTCTGACACGCCCCCGCTACACCACGCCCCTGCCACGCCCTCAATTCTGCCCTGCCTCGCCAGGAATACCCACATACCCCTGCCCTAACACGCTCCTTCCATGCCCCACCCCTACACGCCCCGCCCCGGCCATGCCACACCCCACGCCCCGCCCCCGACACGCCCCGCCCCCAAGCCCACACTGCCCCGCCCCAGGCACGCCCCGCCCCCTGCTACGTCGCTGCCACTGCCACACCCCCACACGCTCCCAACATGACACGCCCATGGCCCCTGCCCCCCTCACCTTGCCCCTGCACGTCCTGCCCACGCCACTCCCCCACATGCTCCGCCCACACCATGCCCCGCCCCCACAAGGCCACGCCCCCGCCTCTCCCGCACCTCACCTTCCAGGTACCTGACCAGCTCCGGGATCTCCTGGTCCCACATGTCGGCCATAGTGGGTGCGATGCTGCGGCTCAGCGTCCTCAGGAGGTTTAGCATGGCCACCCCGCGGCCCTCCCCCTTATAGGGCGACGACATCAGCACCTGGGGGCCGGCACCGGTGGGGTCCAGCCCTGGATGGGCACCTGGGTGCCGCACCTCCCCCCCTCGGGGCCTTGTCCCGACTTGGAAGGGCAGCAGAAGCGTGGGGAGACTCTGGGGGCGACGGGTGTCTGGGGTCTGAGGGTCCCCGCCTGCTGGGGGCAGGACCATGAACCATGTCCCTCGGCCATGTCCTGAGCTCAGAAGCAGGATGTGTGGGTGCAGGACTGGGCACCCCAGAGCAGGGGGCCTTCCATCTGGGGCTCATGGAGGCTGGTCGGGTGCATGGGCCCACGTCTGGGCATACTGGCCATGCCGCCTCCCGTCCAGGGAGACCCCAGGGTCATCATCAACCCCAGCACGTGGCCCAGGGATACTCACCAGGAGGCGAGCTAGCAGCTTCTGCGGGGCGGGCAGGTCCACTGAAGAAGGGGGAAGGGAACGTGAGCCTTGTTGGGGCAGCTAGTCCAGGGGCGCCCCTCCAGCGTCGGGGGACTGGGGGTATCCATATAAGGGTATCTTATATGGACTCAGTGGTGGGCAGGGAGAGTCTGTGGGGAGGCCCCGCCCTTGATGTGGGTCACCCCTCCCCTCTCATTCGTGAGCCCGGGAGAAGCACCTCAGCACCTGCACTGGGGATCTGGCATCCCGGGCTTCTCCCAGATCAGAACCAGGGAGCCATGTCAGCCCGCTGAGGGGGCCCTTGACCCTAAGTGGTTCCTGCTACCCCCAGCCCCACCCCAGCATGTCCCTTGGGACAACACCCTGTCCACCCCTCCTCCCCGACGGCCCCCCTCCGACCCCTGTGGGCTGGCAAATTTGCTTTTTGGAGATCCTGGAACTGTGCGTGCTCCATGCCGGGTGCCAGGAGTGGGGTTCCCACAGCACCTGGCGGGGTACCTGTGACACCCCCATGGCTACTCACCGTCAACCCCAAAGTCACCTGGCTGGAGGAGGTGAAGGTGGGCCCCCTGCAGGGAAGGGTGTGGGCAGTGGGTGGGGAGGGGAGGCGGGGCTGCCCACCTGTCCAGCCCCCGCAGCCAGCACAGGCCTGCAGCCCGCCACTCTCAGCCGTGTCCTTGCCGTGTAGCTGCCGCTCGGCCAGGTTGGTGAGGCTGACGCAGATGGGGGCCAGCGCCTCCGTGTAGTCTGTTTCCATGATGTAGCACAGCAGCCGCACCCAGAAATCCTGGGTGAGGGGCCGGTGTGAGGGGGCCAGCGTGAGTGGGGGCGTCCCATGGCCGTGAGAGGAGATGGGTCAGCTCCCCACCCCCTCATGCACACATGCACACGTGACCCTGCATGGGTACACATGCATGCACATCCACATACATGCACGCATATACAAGCATGCAGTACACACATGCACACATGCACACGTACAGGCACACAAGCACGCACATCCACACATATGCACACATATACAAGCATATACATGCAACACATATACACACTGGAGCAATAGCACAGCGGGCAGGGCGTTTGCCTTGCACGTGGGCGACGCAGCCGATGCGGCCGACCCGAGTTCGATTCCTCCGCCCCTCTTGGAGAGCCCGGCAAGCTACCAAGAGTATCTCGCCCGCATGGCAGAGCCTGGCAAGCTCCCCATGGCGTATTCGATATGCCAGACACAGTAACAACAAAGTCTCCGATGGAGACGTTACTGGGCCCGCTTGAGCAAATCAATGAACAACGGGAGGACAGTGCTACAGTACACACATGCACGCATGAACATGTATGGGCACACACGCATGCACATCCACACACATGCACGCATATACAAGCATGCTGTACACACATGCACACATGGACATTTATATGCACATGGTACACAAGCACCTGTGCTAAGATTCCAGCCTGCACACCACTTGCCCTGTGCCAACCCTGACCTAGTTCATGCCCCAACTTTGCCCAGGTCAGAGCAGTGGGCAGGTCCTGGGCTGACTGAGCCCCCACAAGTAACCTCATGCCAATCTACAGCCACACAGCCTTGGCCAGTCCCTGGCACTCTGGGAGATGACCGGCAGCATGACCAAGCTCTTCTTCCAACACTGACCCGGGAGAGAGGGGTCTCCGCGAGGCTGCTTCGGGGGCGGGGGGGGGAGGCGGTGGATGCACCAGCTTCCTGCAGGGCGACGCCCTCTGTGACCTGGTGGGTGCCCTCTCGCCCACCAGAGGCCTCTAAAGCAGAAACTCAGCCTTCCCGGAGGACGACAGTCACATGCCTTGCGGCCCCCGGCCACACCCTGAGCTCCAGTCCCGCGGGTTCCAGGCTGTCCGACACCCGTCCAGCTGCAAGGGTCAGCACTTTGGCTCCTGTTGCCTCTGTGGTCAGGACGTCACCCACAGTACAGAACCGCGGCAACAGGCTGGCACCAAACACCCTCCGTCCACTCGCGTGACCCTGGTCCTGGGATCTCCCCCTCCCAGGCTGAGGCTCCTGGGCCGCCGCCAGCAAGGGCCATCTCTGGTTGTGCTGGCCACCAGAGTTAGACAGAGGCCATAGGGAAAGGCCCTGCCTCCACAGGTGTCAGCTTCCGGGCTCGGGGAAAGTTCCAGAGGACAGTTATAAAGAGAGAACCTTTCAAATTAAGCCACGGGGGACAGCACTAGCCTGCAGCCTCTCTTAGTGGACAGCAGCTAAGTCAGAGTGTCTTTTGTGATGGAAACTGGCACCTTCCTTTCCCATAAAACCTCTGAGCAGCCTGGAGTTAATCAAAGCTGTCCCATGCCGTCCCCCCGCAGGAGAAACTCACTAGTGTGGACATTAGTAGGGAACAAAAGCTCTTGCGTCATTCCCCTATACACGCATTTCTGGTGGTGGCCCCTGTGAGCACTGTGTGAGTGGGGGGCGATTCCCACCCAAAGCCAGCAGGTCGCCAGGAGCTCAGAGCTCCCAGGCGGGGGAGGATGCAGGCCCGGGTCCAGCCCGGCCACTCACGCTGGTCATGCCGCTGACAGATGACGTGATGATCCGCACAGTGTCCATGGTCACCTTGTGGACCATCTTCTCCTCCAGGTCCCTCTGGTAGAAGCTCTCCCGGCGATTCGTCTGCGACACAAGCAAAGGCTCTGCGGGGGCTCCGGGCGGCGTCACGGGGGCTGAGAGCCAGACCCGGGCCGTGCGCGTGGGTTTTCAGCTGGGCCCTGGACCGTGCACACGTCTACCTGCGCCGCCCCGTGCTGGAGGGCGGTGTGCAAGGCCCCTACGGGGTGGCACGGGCAGACTTCCTGGGGGGGGCGCAGGGAAGGCCTGTAAGGGACCCTGGGGGCACGGGGACATGGGTCTAAGCCCACATAGGACCCTGGGGGCACAGGGACACGGGGTGGGGACGGGGAGCCCACACGGGACATGGGGGCACGGGGACATGGGGGGCGCCCGCACGGGACATGGGCACGAGCTGGCATTCTTCCTCTGTGCATCGGTGCCTCTCCGAGCCCGGCCGCCCACGCTGCTGTCCCCACTCACCAGCTTGTAGGTGGACAGGGTCAGCTGCGCCGACACGTACTTCAGGCCCCAGCCTTTGATCCTGTCCTGGAAGCCGGACAGAACCAGCTGGCCAATGATGCGGAGGATGGCCATGCGCACCTGCGGGCAGAGGGCTGCTGGGCACGGGGCACCGGGCACAAGGTTGCACGAAGCCTCTGGCTTCTTGGCAGCCCACTACTCTGCCCCGCCCCTTCCTATCCCCTTCTCTGCCCCGCCCCTTCCTATCCCCTTCTCTGCCCCGCCCCTTCCTATCCCCTTCTCTGCCCCGCCCCTTCCTATCCCCTTCTCTGCCCCGCCCCTTCCTATCCCCTTCTCTGCCCCGCCCCTTCCTATCCCCTTCTCTGCCCCGCCCTCTTCTACCACCTTCTCTGCCCCGCCCCCTCCTAACCCCTTCTCTGCCCCGCCCCTTCCTATCCCCTTCTCTGCCCCGCCCCTTCCTAGCCCCTTCTCTGCCCCGCCCCTTCCTATCCCTTTCCCTGCCCCGGCCCTCACGCCCCCTTCTCTGCCCCGCCCCTTCCTATCCCCTTCTCTGCCCCGCCCCTTCCTATCCCCTTCTCTGCCCCGCCCCCTCCTAACCCCTTCTCTGCCCCGCCCCTTCCTATCCCTTTCCCTGCCCCGCCCCCTCACGCCCCCTTCTCTGCCCCGCCCCTTCCTATCCCCTTCTCTGCCCCGCCCCCTCCTAACCCCTTCTCTGCCCCGCCCCTTCCTATCCCTTTCTCTGCCCCGCCCCCTCACGCCCCCTTCTCTGCCCCGCCCCTTCCTATCCCTTTCTCTGCCCCGTCCCCTCCCGCTCCCTTCTCTGCCCCGCCCCTTCCTATCCCTTTCTCTGCCCCGGCCCTCACGCCCCCTTCTCTGCCCCGCCCCTTCCTATCCCCTTCTCTGCCCCGCCCCTTCTTATCCCCTTCTCTGCCCTGCCCCTTCCTATCCCCTTCTCTGCCCCGCCCCCTCCTAACCCCTTCTCTGCCCCGCCCCTTCCTATCCCTTTCTCTGCCCCGCCCCCTCACGCCCCCTTCTCCGCCCCGCCCCTTCCTATCCCTTTCTCTGCCCCGCCCCCTCCCTCTCCCTTCTCTGCCCCGCCCACTCCCACCCCCTTCTCTGCCCCCTACCACCGGCTTGGCGCCCCCTCCTGCCTCATCCCCAGGGCCGGTGGCTGCATTCACGGGTGCCTGGTCCAGGCCTGGCCCGGCCTGGGGTGGCCGCTACCCGGATGCAGCCCGCATCCGGGTAGCGGCACCCCCACTGCTGTCTCCCTGGCAGGGGCAGCTCTCGACTTCCCGGGTCCCCAGAGTGGGGCCTGAATCCCTTCACCCCAAGATTCCGGGAGCTGGAGGCTCCTCAGACTCACTGATCATCTCCCCCAGCCCCTCCTCCCTTCCCAGGCCGCCGCACGCCTCCCTCCCCCCCCACCCCCTGGCGGGCTGCCCCATCACCTTGGAGCGGGTGTCGGCCAGGCTGCCCCTCACCACGCGGATGGCCAGGTAGATGGTGCGCACACTCATCTTGGGCTCTGCGGGGGAAGGCGGGGAGGCAGGCAGCTGCCTCAGGGACCCCTCAGTGCCCCCCGCAGAAGCCTCGGCTCCCCCTACCCATCTCTGACCGCTGGGGAGGGCCCATGTCGCCACCCTCCATCACTATGTCTCTCTGAACCTATGGGGTCCCCTTGAGCATGGAGTGGGGTCTCCCTCCACCCCTCCACCTATAGGTTCCGAGGCCGCGGGTCAAGGGGCATTTGTGGGGCCAGCGGCAGCTGCCAGCACAGCTGGAGAGATTGGGGAGAAACGGGGCTCTGTGCCCAGCGGCCTGGGGGCCTGCCTGGTGCTGCTCGCTGTGTGCCCTGAGTTTGGTCTTCACCTCTCCCGGGGGCCCGGGCACCTCATGGAGGCAGCTGGACAGGGCCATGGAGCGAGCCCCGAGAAGGATCTGGGCAGAATGAGAGCCCAGAGCGGACATGAGGTGTTAGTGCTTCCTGGTGGAAGGGGAAGTGGGAACAGGCATGGGAAGAACAGCTGGTGGTGGGGACCAGGGCACTGAGGGAGAAGGGGGGCAACAATGTGTGCTTCCAGAACAGAGACTCTTTGGGGGGGGACTGTAAAAAAGCATCCGTGGAATTCAGAAGCCACTCCTTTGGGGGTGCTTAGGGGCCTGGAGGTCCCTCCCAGCGGGTCTCAGCTCTCTGAGGGTGTGGGATGGCTGAGGCCTGCGCTCCCGGTGCTCAGAGCAGTCCAGAAGCACCTTCCTCCCGCTCTATTTCTCCGCCTCACAAAGAACCACGCTTGAGTCTGGGTGTGGGGCCAGGGAGATAGCGCAATGGGTAGGGCATCCCATATTCCCCCCTGACTCCCACCAGGAGAGATCCCGGAGTGCAGAGCCAGGAGTAAGCTCTGAGCACTGCCAGATGTGAACCTCCTAAAAAAGTGTGTGTGTGTTGGGGGGGGGGGGTCTGGGCAGGGTGATAGCACAGTGGGGAGGGCATTAGACTGGCACGCGGCTGGCCCAGGTTCGATTCCCGGCATCCCATAAGGTTTCCTGAGTACCACCAGAAGTAAGTTCTGAGCACTGCAAGATGTTGCCTACCCCACCCAAAAAAGTAAACATAAAGAGTCCAGATGTGTCCTTGTGGCCCCGAGTGGGCACCAGCCAATCAGCATGCAGGGTTCATGCTGGCCACTGCCCAGAGCTGGGCCTTAGCAGCAATGGGGGCATGTTGGGACGAGCAGGCCCGCATCGGGAGGCAGAGTAGGGGTCGCCTGCTCCCCAGGCTGGCACCCTGCTCCTTTCTAAGGGTTCACTTTTGGATTTCAAACACCCCTCTTTGCCCAGTGACCTCAAAGCATCCATCTACTCCTGACAACTTCCCCAAAGTTGGGTTGCTGAACAGTCTGACATTTTGGCTTTTGACAGGGGCGCAGCACCGAATGGCCGAGGTTCCCATTCCCAGCCCAGAGCTGGAGGGGGCGCATGGGCACCTGACTCGGTGTCTGCCATGGTTCACAACAGTGGGGCTGAGTCACTGGCACAGATGCCCCTGTGATGCAAGGCTGAAAACGTTTTTTCTAACTGGCTTTTTCCAGAAGGAGGGCTGGACTGGACCATCGTCTCCAGCATCTGCCCACGGGTAGATGAAAGGCGCCCCACTGCTTTTTAACTTGTAGCACTGTCGCACTGTCCTCCCGTTGTTCATCGATTTGCTCGAGCAGGCGCAGTAACATCTCCATTGTGAGACTTGTTACTACTGTGTTTGGCACATTGAATCCATCACGGGGAGCTTGCCAGGCTTTGCTGTGCGGGCGAGAGACTCTCGGTAGCTTGCTGGGCTCTCCGAGTGGGGCGGAGGAATCAAACCTGGTCCGACTGGGTCGGCCGCATGTAAGGCAAACACCCTACCCCGCTATGCTATCGCTCCAGCCCTTCTTAACTTGTAAAGGTAAAGACCCTCCCGTTGTTCGTCGATTTGCTCGAACGGGCCCAGTAACGTCTCCATTGGAGACTTTGTTGTTACTGTGTTTGGCATATCGAATACGTCACGGGTGGCTTGCCAGGCTCTGCCGTGCGGGCGAGATACTCTCGGTAGCTTGCCGGGCTCTCCGAGAGGGGCGGAGGAATCGAACTCGGGTCGGCCACGTTGGCTGCGTGCAAGGCAAACGCCCTACCGCTGTGCTATCGCTCTAGACCTCCCCCAAAAGTCCTGCACCTGCAGGGCTGCCTGCTACCAGCAGAGGGCGCCGTGCAGCCGGCCAACTTCGGCCCAGTCTAACGGTTCAACCTATGGTTTAGCTTTGGAGCTCAGCAGGAGGATTCGGGTCAGAGCTAAAACTGGGAGCTGGGCTGCAGGATGCAAAAGAGGGGGGTTGATGTCTCCCTGAGACAGTGCCAGGGTCAGGCAGCCCCTCAAAGAGCGACCTCGGAGGGCGCCCTGTGCACTCACCGTCCGCACTCACCACCGCCCTGATGAGCGTCAGGGTCCCCACGCGCGTGGACTCCTTGCTGGTCTCCATCTGGCTGAGGAAGAATTTCATCAGCTCCTTGGGGTAGGAGCGAGCTGCGGAGGGACGGAGGGCTGGCGTCACCCCGCAGGGCCCGGTGGCACTGCGAGAGGGTGGGAGCCCCCCCCTGCCCCCAGCGCCCAGAGGGGAGCCCGGGCCCCTCACCCAGCGCGATGAAGCAGTGTACGATCTCTGCCAGGTTCTGGCTGCTGTGCTGGTGCTGTGCAGGTGCCCGGGAGCACACCTGGGGGCGCAGGTGGGGGGTGACTTAGGGGCTCCGTCCCCTGACTTCCTGCTGACCATCCCCCACCCTATCCCCAACAGCCCGGCCCATACCCCACCCCCCTTGCCTGGACATGCAGCTCAGAGAAAATGTTGTGTAGCTGCATGGGCGGGATGGGGGTGTTCGTGAGCACAGACATCTCCAGGATCTGCCTCAGCACCTGTGGGGATGGGGGGAAGGTAGACGTGGGTGCGGTGACCCACCACCACCACCATGTCGGGTGCTCTGTGTGGGCTGGGACCTCTCGTGGTGCATGAGAAAGCCTCAGTTTCCCCTCATTTGAACTGTCCCCAGCCTCCACCTGAGACATTCCTGGGCTCTCTCTGAGAAGTTTAGACTTTCCTGCAAATCCTGCCCCGGGCCTTGGGCTTACAGGAAATCTAGAGACTAGGGGGCTATACCAGGAAGATGGTGAAACACAGACAGTCCCACCAGCCACAGTGGGAGCAAGGGGTGTCTGTCAGTCTTAGCAACACAGATGGGCTCTAAATTACCAGGACAGCTCTGGGAACCGGTGGGGATCCCTGAGACTCTAAGAGGAAACACAAAAACCCACAAAACCAGCCGCTCCTGACTCGGTCCTCTCCTAAGGTCCTCCCTGGCTGGGAGTTCCTTTCTCATCTATTTCTCAACACTCTTTTATTTCCTAACTGCATCTGAGCAGTTAGACTTTATGACTTTACAACTCGATATTCTCATTCTGGAAAATATCAAAGTATCTGGGAGCCATGGACGGACTCAAAGACCCACATCAGCACCAACCTCCCCAGAGGACATGGGGGAATGTGCCCAGAGCAGCCGGATCTGGCTCTGCACCCAAGGCAGCACCCCCTCTCATCTCCACCCCCTTCCTGCCAGGTATAGTGGAACCAGCACACTGCACAAAAAGTCTACTGACCTGGGGGGTGACCCCCATCCTGCTTGGGTTTGGGGGGGCACACCTGATGGTGCTTGGCTGCTGTTCCCAGCTTGGAGACTGAGCAGCGTGTAGTTCCCGGGAGATGGAACCAGTGCTCTGACCCTTGGTGTCATCTCCCGGCCTGAGAATCCCCATCTGTGAGCCAGGGCACACAGCTAAGGACCTTGACTTTCCTTTACAGTTGCAAGAGCGCTCAGGACAGCCTGCCTGGCTCCATCTCTTGGAGCTGAAATGCAGGTGGAAGGCAATCGCCCCACCCACCACACACACACACACACACACACACACACACTGGCCCTTGGAAATGTGGCATCTTTGGAACCAGCTGCAGTGCATCAAGGAGCTCATGGTCAGGTGGGATGTCAGGGAGAGGAGCCATGTCTCTGAGAGGGGTCGCCAGGGACTGAAAGGGGAAGGAAGGCCTCTTCCTGGGGCCCTGTCCATGCCCTGGCCTGAGCCTGCTGGGCCCCGAGTTGGGTGAGACACAGTTTCCCTGCTCGGGGTTCTTGGGTCCTGCAACCCACTGACACTGATCTGCAGGCCCAGAGCGAACGGGCCATCAAGGTGCCCTGTCCTGGGTCCACTGCACCTGGCCCCGCCGACGGGGCCCTCAGAGACTGTGTTTCTAGTGGCGGCACCTGGGTGATGAAGAGCGCCTCCAGGCTGCCGTTGTACTCGGCCAGCAGCAGCGGGATGTAGTCATACACCTGCTCTCGCAGGTCGTCGCTGGGCAGCAGCAGGCTCAGCATGGGCCGCAGGGACTTGACGACCCCCAGTTTCACCTGCCACAAGACGGGGGGCTCGGTCTCCTGGCCAGGCGCCCTGACACACCCAGCCTGTCCACAGCTATCAGGACAGAGAGCACGGGTCCAGGCGGGGAGCGGGGCCAGCCACGGGGCTGAGGGGACCCCGATCGAGAACAGGGCGGCTCTGTGTCTCAGTTTCCCCCTGTAAAACAGCCTCACTGCAGAGGGTTGGTGGGGAAATTGCTCCCCTGTGGTGTCTGCATGCCCCAGGAGGGGCTTCATATCAATGGCCATGCTCCTTCGGGTTCCTGGAGGGAGGCTGCAACCAGCGAGGGCTCTGCCCTGGATCTGGGAGGCTGTGATGTGAGGGACTTACCTGGGGGCGCCCCTCCCAGAACATGTCACCTAGAGTTACACGAGGGACCCACCGGGGGGCGCCCCTCCCAGGTTGCCTCACCTGGAGTCCCACGAGGGACCCACCAGGGGGCGCCCCTCCCAGGTTGCCTCACCTGGAGTCCCACGGGGGACCCACCAGGGGGCGCCCCTCCCAGGGTGCCTCACCTGGAGTCACACGAGGGACCCACCAGGGGGCGCCCCTCCCAGGGTGCCTCACCTGGAGTCCCACGGGGGACCCACCAGGGGGCGCCCCTCCCAGGGTGCCTCACCTGGAGTCCCACGGGGGACCCACCAGGGGGCGCCCCTCCCAGGGTGCCTCACCTGGAGTCCCACGGGGGACCCACCAGGGGGCGCCCCTCCCAGGGTACTTCACCTGGCGTCCCACGGGGGACCCACCAGGGGGCGCCCCTCCCAGGGTGCCTCACCTGGAGTCGCACGAGGGACCCACCAGGGGCGCCCCTCCCAGGGTGCCTCACCTGGAGTCCCACGAGGGAGCCACCGGGGGGCGCCCCTCCCAGGGTGCCTCACCTGGAGTCCCACGAGGGAGCCACCGGGGGGCGCCCCTCCCAGGGTGCCTCAGCTGGAGTCCCACGAGGGACCCACCGGGGGGCGCCCCTCCCAGGGTGCCTCACCTGGAGTCCCATGGGGGACCCACCGGGGGGCGCCCCTCCCAGGGTGCCTCACCTGGAGTCCCACGACGGACCCACCAGGGGGCGCCCTCTCACCTCGGGGTTGCTGTTGCGTAGCCACACAGTGACGAAATAGCGGTACATGGGGAAGAGCTTCACTGCGAACTGGTCCTCGGTCATGACGGGGTACACGCTGTTCTCCAGGTGCCGCAGGTAGAACTGCACTGCCTCGCAGAAGGTCTCCATGGCTGGGGCGGAGCAGGGGGCTGTGAGCCCACTGGGGGGTGGAGGGGCGGCAGGAGCAGGCAGGACACAGGCGCCCAGGCCGTGACTCAGTTTCCACCTCACGCAAGTCCTGAGGGGCAGGACTAGAAGAGAGTGGGGGTCCCGAGGGCAGAGCACGGCTAGCTCGTGTTTGCCTGGGGCAGGGCACGAGGCCACGCGAGACGCAGCATGGAAGAATCCCCCGTGGGGTCCCCTAGGAGAGATGGCACCCTGAGGCGCCCTGAGCCACTCCTGTTCCTGGCTGAGCCCACTGGAGGGTCCGGCCCTAGAGAGGAGGCCACATGGAGGCCTCAAAGGAGGCCAGGCGGAGGCCACGTGGAGCTGGAGACCAAGTCACCGGCTGGGAACAAATGCACACCCCTCCACCTCCTGGGTCTCGCTCTCCCTCCTGACCCTGGATCAAGCCAGACCTGCAGCCCCAGCCGGACACGTACCACCGCAGATCACCTGGCGCATCTTGGCTTCGTTGGCGAGTCTCAGCATGGTGAATATGGTCACCAGGGTAATGCCCATGTACGGCATGAACTCGAACACTGGCGAGGGCAGGGGCACAGGGGGCACACAGAGGGTGAACCCACTGCCCACACCTCCCGGATCCACACAGACGCCACAGGGGCCCCTGGTGCGTGTGGACTGTCCGCAGGGGGCAGAGTGAGTGTGAGGGGCCCGGGAGGGTTCAGTGGGCAGCGCTGCCTGGCAGGCACGAGTCCAGCCCCCGCTACTCCTCCCCACATGCCAACGGGTCCCCTGTGCTGCCATCAAGGGTGTGGGTGTGGGTGTGCAGCCCGCACTGCTGGTGAGTTCCAGCACCTTCGCCGAAGGGTGTGGCCCTGGCAAGCACCTCATAAGTGTGTGAGTGTGTGGGTGTGCAAGTGTGTAAATGTGTGAGCGTGTGAGTGTGCTGGTGTGTGCAGTTGTGTAAATGTGCAGATGTGAAGTGAAGGTGTGTGAATATGCAAGCGTGTGTGCAACTGTGTGAGTGTGTGGGTGTGCAGGTGTGTAAGTGTGAGGATGTGTATAGGTAGATATGTGTATGTATGAATGCAGGTGTGTGTGAGTGTGTGTATTGGTGTATGCGAGTGAGTGTGTGAGTGTGCAGGTGTGTGAGTGTGTAAGTGTGCAGGTGAGTGGGGGGTGTATTGAGTGTGTGACTATGAGTGTGTGCGTGTGCAGATGTGTTTATGTGTGAGTGTGTGGGTGTGAGTGTGTGTGTGCAGGTGTGTGTGTGGGTGTGAGTGTGTGAGTGTGCAGGTGTGTGGGGTTGTGTATGAGTGTGCAGGTGTGAGTGTGCACATGAATGCATGGATGTTTCAGTGTGCAGGTGGCGAGTGTGTGTGTCTGTGCAAGTATCATGAGTGTGTGTAGGTGTGCAAATATTGCCAGTATATGAGTGTGTGTGTGTGTTGCGAGTGTGTGTGGGCTGCAATCAGGGCAGCAGGTGCAGCAGTGAAGGAACAGGAGGAGGGAGCGGAGCTAGGAGGGGCCTCAAGGAGGGAGGAGACAGGAGGGAGGGGGAGGGGCAGCCGGGGGCGTGGGCAGAGGAGGGGCAGGAACTGGGGAGACAGGAAATCTGCACTGGGGTAACGGCTTCCAGCAACCCCCAATGTTCTTGGAGGAATGAAAACACGGAGAGAAAAGGAAGCAGAGCTGGGGGCATCCGTAGCACAGCAGGGAGGGCGTTTGTCTGGCTCACGGCCGACCCAGTTCCATCCCCGGCATCCCATACAGTTCCCCGAGCACCATCAGGAGGGATTTCTGGGTGCAGAGCCAGGAGGAACCCCTGAGCATCACCCCGTGTGAACCCCCCCCCGCCCCGCCCAAAAAAGAAGAAGAACCAGGGAAAGAACACAGAGATGGAGAGACAGAGACAGAGGGGAGGCAGCAGAGAGGGCGGGGCACGGGGAGATGGAAAGAGAGCACTAGGGATTCAGAGACGAGGCAGCTGGGGAGAGTGAGGGGTCACAGGGAGAAATGTGTCCATGGGGCCGCAGCCGTGGGCAGGGCGCTGGCCTTGCATGCAGGTGACTGGGTTTGATCCCTGGCACCCCGTGGGGTCCCTTGAACACTGGAGTGATCCTTGAGCACAGAGACAGAAGCGAGCCCTGAGCACCACCAGGTGTGGCCCAAAAATCAAGAAGGAAGGAAAGGAGGGAAGGAGGGAGGAAGAGAGGGAAGGAGGAAAGGAAGGAGGGAGGGAGGGAGGGAGGGAGGGAGGGAGGGAGGGAAGGAAGGAAGGAAGGAAGGAAGGAAGGGAGGGAGGGAGGGAGGGAGGGAAGGAAGGAAGGGAGGGAAGGAAGGACTTCCGGAAGGAAGGAAGGAAGGAAGGAAAGGAAGGAAGGAAGGAAGAAGGAAGGAAGGAAGGAAGGGAGGGAGGGAGGGAGGGAGGAAGGGAGGGAAGGAAGGACTTCCGGAAGGAAGGAAGGAAGGAAGGAAGGAAGGAAGGAAGGAAGGAAGAAGGGATGGAAGGAAGAAAGAAGGAATGGAAGGAAAGGAGGGAGGGAGGGAGGGAAGAAAGGAAGGACTTCCAGAAGGAAGGAAGGAAGGAGGGAAGAAGGGAGGGAGGATAGAAGGAGGGAGGGAAGGAAGGAAGGAAGGAAGGAGAGAGGGAGGGAGGGAGGGGAGGGAGGGAGGAAGGATGGAAGGGGAGGGAGGAAGGGAGGGAGGAGGAAAGGATTGAAGGGAGGAGCAGAGGATAGGAAGGAAATAAGGAAGGAAGGAAGGAAGGAAGGAAGGAAGGAAGGAAGGAAGGAAGGAAGGAAGGAAGACAGAAGGGAGGGAGGGAGGGAGGGAGGCAGGGCTCCCAGCGCGGTGCGTGAACACCCGAGCCTGGGCAGAGGGCAGGAGTCCGGGCGGGCCAGGGCGGTGCCCACCGTTGCCATTGGCCAGCTTGGCCAGCGTGACGATGACAAACTCGTCGGAGAGGTTGAGGGGCTTGAGGTGGTGCTGCAGCTCGTACATGACCAGGCTGAAGTGGTTCCGGGACAGGGCCACCAGCGTGTCGCTGGCCACCTCCGCCTTCAGGTAGCCCTCCTCCTGCGGGCCGGAAGAGGGTGTGTGGGCCCGTCAAGGGGCTTGGGGTGGTCCCGCAGAGAGCCTCCCCACAGCCGCTCCAGGCCCTGCTGGGCGCCGGGGCCCGCTCTGCCTCCTCTGCCCAGTGGCAGGTCTGGCACCTGGGCCCGGGTTCGAGGAGCAGGCTGGCGTGACCCGTGGCACCGTGGATCATGGCAGCCCTGGGCCCGGGTGCAAGGAGCAGGCTGGCGTGACCCGTGGCACTGTGGGTCATGGCAGTCCTGGGCCCGGGTCGAGGAGCAGGCTGGTGTGACCCGTGGCGCCGTGGGCAGTGGCAGCCCTGGGCGCGGGTGCAAGGAGCAGGCTGGCGTGACCCGTGGCACTGTGGGTCATGGCAGTCCTGGGCCCGGGTCGAGGAGCAGGCTGGCGTGACCCGTGGCACTGTGGGTCATGGCAGTCCTGGGCCCGGGTCGAGGAGCAGGCTGGCGTGACCCGTGGCGCCGTGGGCAGTGGCAGCCCTGGGCCCGGGTGCGAGGAGCAGGCTGGCGTGACCTACCTCCAGGCCTTCGCGCATCTCCCTGGAGGCGATGGAGACCAGCCGCTGAACACAGCGTTCCTCCAGCTCGCCCTCCTGCTGGATGATGTCCTGCAGGATGTTGTAGATGTTGATCTTGCGCAGCGTGGAAATCTGCAACAGGCCGCGCGTGCGGTGGGAGCCCGGCCACAGGGCTGCTGCCCGGCCCCTGCCCCTTCTGGTGGCTCCCACTGGCCCTGCTCAAACCCGGTTTCCTCGGTCAGCCTGGGCCTCCCGCTTGGTGGTTCCCCTCTGTGGGACCAAGACGGTGGTGTTGGGGCCGGAGCGATAGCACAGCCGGGTGGGCATTTGCCTTGCATGCAGCCGACCCAGGTTCAATCCCCGGCATCCCATATGGTCCCCGAGCACTGCCAGGAGTAATTCCTAAGTGCATGAGCCAGGAGGAGCCCCTGAGCATCGCTGGGTGTGACCCACCAAGCAAAACAAACAAACAAACAAAAAGGAAGTGGTGTTGTTGGGGGCAGAGAGATGGTGCCGTGGGCTTGCTGGCGCCACTCAAGACTCGGGCTGGTGGTGATTTCTGAGCACGGAGCCGGGAGAAAGCTCTGAGCACTGCCAGTTGTGGCCCAAACAACAGAAACCAAAGAAGGAGGTGTTTGTGCGCTGCTGGAGGTCCCGAGAACTCATCCCGCTCTGCCGTCACCCCCAGCGGGTTAGAGCCAACAGGAGCGGGGGAGAACACGCGCCCCAATGGGACGAGGCACCACACAGCCCTCCCCGGGATGCGCTCCAACCGTGAGAGGCCTCAGCAGATGGAGGGTCCCGAGTGGCCCCCCACACTGATCCGTCCTCCTCACGGGGACTCAACAGAGCACTTGGCCGTGTGGGCAGTAAGCCCAGCAGAGGGGCCTCGCACCAACCCCTGCTGGGAGAACTGTGTGAGCAATTGAGAACGAGTCTCCAGACCAGTTTTTCTGCCTTAGACATTCTTCCCCGATCAGCCCCTTCCCCAGAAGCCTTGATATGGACCCGGGAGATTGGCCCGGGGGCTGACGCTGACCCAGATGGGATGGGCCTCCGTCCTGCACTTTGCCTCTCGTGGGAAGGACCAGCACCTGCTGTGGACACACCACAGAGCCTGGCACGGCCGCATACAGGTTACTCCCCTGCACAAAGGCCCATGTGCGTTGGTGGGAACCAGGACCGCCCTGTCTCCGCTCAGGACCTCCAGCCTCCAAGCCCCGTCCTGTTTCACGCATGGCCTTTCCCGCAGCTTTTGTTCGTGCTGGGAACTTCCCTCGTTTTCCGCACAGGTGCTTTTTTTTTTTTTTTTTTTTTTTTTGCTTTTTGGGTCACACCTGGCGATGCACAGGGGTTCCTCCTGGCTCATGCACTCAGGAATTACTCCTGGCGGTGCTCAGGGGACCATATGGGATGCTGGGAATCGAACCCGGGTCGGCTGCGTGCAAGGCAAATGCCCTAACCACTGTGCTATCTCTCCAGCCCCACAGAGATGCTCTGAGAGCAAGGGCCATAGCCCCTCGGAGCCTGGGGACCAAGAAAATCCCCGATGGAGGAAGACAGTGACAGAGAGTGGGTCAGAGCGGTACCGAAGCAGGTAAGGCTGTCCTGACCTGCAGCTGACCTGGATTCGATTCCTGGCATTACATACATTTCCCTCAGCACTGGCAGGAATCATCCCTGAGCACAGAGCTGGGAGCACTGCCGGATGTGGTCCAAGACATGCTGCCCCCCAAAAGGGACAGATGAGTGATGGGCAGCTTCAGTCTGGCTCACTGTGGTACATGAGTGGTGACGGCCGCACCCGTCGGCAGCAGGACAAGCCCAGGAAATAACCAAATGCCAGTGAGAATCCGGGTGTCCCCGGGATCCTGGGAAATCAGCTCCCAAAAGTCCCCCCATTCTCTGCAACATCCTCCCCTTACTAATCTGCCTGGTTGAGACCCCCCTACCCCCAATAATCCCGAAGTTCGCAGCTGCCCCCTGGAGCACTGAGCACACAGCACCCACTGACTCACGAGCAAAGTTCTGACTCAGCTTCTGGGCCTAAGATGGGCCCTGCCAGCCCCCCGGCCCCTGAAGCTGGACAGCCGGGAGCCCCCAAGAGCTGCGTGCTCCTCCAGGGCAGCCCCCCCCGCCCTGCCCCCAACCCCCACCCCTGCCCAGACCTACCTTTGGCACCTGCAGGCAGCAGATGAGCGCGTCCATCACTGTGGCTGGCTCGCTGGTGGCCTTGTCCGTTATGATCACCGAGGCCAGCGTCTTGCGCATGTCCAGCCCAGCCCCAGCCGTGTCCGTCTTGGCCGACTCGCTCTCCATGATGTCCAGGAGGTTTGTAACTTGCTGGAAGGTGGCTGAGTTGGAAGCGACAGGGGCGACAGAGCCGGGAGGGACCCCCGTGAGGCCGGCTCTCTGGTCCGCCCTTCCCCCCACCCCATCCCTGTGTCCTCTCAGAGGCAGCAGGAGGGACCCAGTGGGGGGACGGGGGGCTTCTCACCATGGTCACTGGGGTGCAGAGGCTCCAGGTCCTCTGTGCTCTCCGAAGGGTCCTCACTGCCGGAGTCAGGGGCTGCTTCTGCCATCTCTTCCTCAAACGCTTTGAAAGAAGCAAAATTTATCAGTGTGTGTGTGTGTGTGTGTGTGTGTGTGTGTGTGCGCGTGTGTGTGTCCGTGCACACGCACGTGCAGGAGGGGTGGGGTGCAGTTTAAGCTACACCAGACGTGCTCAGGAGTGTTCTTGGCTCTGTGCTCAGGACGGACCCCTGGCGGTGTTAAGGGGAATGACCTTTTGCCATGTTAGGAACTGGCCACAGGCCTTCCCCCCTGTACTATCTCTGTAACTCCAAAACACTCCTTAGGGCAACACGCCCCAACACGATTTTCCAACAAGTCACACTCACCCTGTGTGGCCCCGTGGCCTGGAGTGTGGGCAGAATTGCTGGTAACCAAGTGACCAGAGTGCGGGGGGCCCCTGCCAGACCACTCTCGGGCCCGCAGAGGCGGCCCTAGGATCCGTAGGTGCAAGGAGGGACCAACCGAATGAACACAAGACACAAGAGACAGAGTGCAGTTTAGAAACAGAGAGGAAAGGGGACAGACTTTATTGAGGGCTACAGGCTGTTTATATAGGGTCCGGGGCAGCCCAGCCACGAGCATTCAAGGTAAACATTTGTACATCAAAGGGTCTTATGGCAGTAGGTGCATCCTGAGCTTTACATTTGTATATCAAAGGGTCTTATAGCAGCAGATGCATCCTGGAGGTCACTATAGATAAGGCCAGATAAGATAACTGTCAGCCTGATGTATGTGGCTATGGATCAGGCATCCGCTGAGGTCAGGAAGTCCTGGGAGACTGACACCAATGTCTGTCCCAAGCAGTTGCTAACATGGGAACCACGGCCAGGGTCTATGAGAGGGCTCTTGGCTTCCCACATCTCCCCCTTCGATATTATATAAAAGCCTCGTTCAGGGAGGTATTAGCTGGGTTCCCTCAAGATCGCAAAATCCCTCTGTTTTGTGGAGGGCAGGATGAGATGCCCATCCCTCAATTCTCCTTGCTAGAAGGGAATTGTGGAAAAAGGCAGGGGCAGAGGAACCTCCACGCAGACCCAGCATGCCTCTCAGGGAGTCGGAAACTGGCCACAGGGCCATCCCTTGCAGTGCTCTGCCTGGCAACTGACGGGCTCCAAAAAGAAAAAGGGGGGCGGGCGCAGGGAGCGGGTCCGACGCCACTACTCCTGCGATGGGGAGGTCCATTCGATAGACCGGCGAGGGAGCTCAACTGACCCAGCGGAGGCCTGCGACAGCCTAGCATCTTCCATAGCCAGGCGACGAGAGTGCACCTGAATGGGGGTCGTTGATATTGTGGTAATCTGTTGTCTAATAAAGGCGAGCAGGCGATTGACTATACAAAAGTCAGTGGTTACTAACAACAAGAGCGCTGATAGGGGGCCTAAAAGTGGTGACAGATATGGGAGTAAGGTATGGAAACTCCAGCCAGAGGAGGAGGGTTCTCGTTGGCGATGCCTTTGCTCCAGGCCCTCTCATAATTCACGCATGGAGTCCCTTATGACCCCACTACGATTGACATAAAAGCAGCATTCCTCCCCCAGGGCAGCACAGAGTCCCCCCTCTTTTAGGACTCATAGAGGCCGCGATTCTGAAGCGCGACCTCAGACAGGGAGTTGAGAGATTTCTCCAGATGAGCAATGGAGCGTTCAAGGCCCGCGAGGTCCGCGTCCACAGCAGCATGCAGCGAGGTTAGGGCGGAGTGCTGGGTAACCAAGGCGGCAATGCCCGTGCCGGCGCCCGCGAGAGTCAAGGTCAATAGTGTGGCAATGGAGATGGCAGTAAAGGGGTCACGACGATCACGATGGAGGGTACCACGACTGGCCCAGGCGTCCACGATGACGTCTTGGGGGTGGTATATGATACGAGGTAGAACCACTACAGAAACACAAAAATCCAAGGAGGGATCGAAGGCAGAGCTGGCGAGGTGAGGCACAAGGTCGGCTTGGAGCCTCCAGGCTCCCTGGGGGGTGGGAGCACCCATTGTTCAAGCTGAAGAGATGAATCAGGAACAGGAGAGCCGCAATGGGCAGCGAGATCGAACGCGCAGATGGGGAGGAGCCGAGGCAGAATCCTTAACCTGTGATATCCTGGAGTGAAAAGGAAAAGAGACCGGACATCCAGAGGCGGGAGAGACGGGTGGAAATGGAATAAAGGGAGGGATCGCCCAGGAGGTCGAAAAACATGGCGGGGGTAGTGGGGGGAGGGCTGGAGGCACAGCCAACAACTGTGCGTAAGATTAGGAGAAGTAAGGTTAAGGGATTCAAAAGATGCCTGGATCAAAAGGCGAAGGGAATCCCCAGGATGAGTCTCCCAAGAAAGTGGAGGGGCTGCTTCCCATGCATCCCGGTCAGGTGGAGGGGCACGGCCAGGTACGCGAGGGGTAAAGATTGGGGGCCAAGAGTCAAAAGGAGGAAAGGTCTACACAATGGAGTACTATGTAGCTGTTAGAAAAGATGAAGTCATGAAATTTACATACAAGTGGTACAACATGGGAAGTATCATGCTAAGCGAAATGAGTCAGAAAGAGAGGGATAGACATAGAAAGATTGCATTCATCTGGGGGATATAAAGTAACAAAGTATGAGATTAATACCCAAGAATAGCTGAGATCTGCACCAGGAGGATTACTCCATAACTTAGAGGCCAGCTGGGTATGCTAGAGGAAAGGGCAGTTCAGATAGAGAAGGGAGCACCAAATAAAGGGTGTTTGGAGGATCCTCCCAGGAGGGGAGATGCATGTCGAAAGTAGACTATGGACTGAACATGTTTGCCACTCAATGCCTCTTTTGCAGACCACAACACCCAAAAGGAGAGAGAGAACAAAAGGGAATGCCCTGTCCCAGAGGCAGGGTGGGATGGGGGGGATGGAGGTGGGGGGGATATTATCCATGGTGATGGAAAATGGGCACTGGTGGAGGGATGGGTAGCTGATCATTGTATAATTGAAACCCAAGCACAAAAAATTATAAATCTACAACTGTACCTCATGGTGTTTCACTAATAATAATAAAAAAAATGGAAAAATAAATAAATAAAATTTTAAAAAAAGGTGGTAGGGGGGCAGTCAGTAAACCGCTCAGGCGGATCTGTGATTACCACTGGTCGTGGAGGCAAAGGGGGTGGAGGCGGACTGGGTAAGGGCAGGGGTGAAGAAATATCGAGGGGCGAGAAGTGAGAGGGAGCAGGAGGAGGAGGGTACGTGGGAGAGTCAAAGACACGACGTATGCTCACCAAAAAACCCAAACGGATACTTGGTAGAGGTCAGGGAATGATACAGGGAGGTCCCAGATTCTTCAACAAACTTCCCAGGCTGTAAAGCTCCCCATCTCATACCCTCCCCAGTCCAGCGAGAGGTAGGTAAGGCTTGTGCAGAGGGAGCAAACTGAACACAGAGAAGGCGACAAGTAGTAGGGTCGCTGCGGGTAACCTCAGTTCCCGCAGGGGGAATACAGCCAGACTGTCCAGAGGGGTCAAGGATGTGGGAAAAGGAGACGGCATCGGGGGTAGCGGGAGACTATGCGACCGTGCCTTAGGAACGGAAGTGGCGCATCCTGACTTTTTGCAGAAATCATCTGAGAGGTCACCACAATCTGCCCCCGAAGGAGACCCCGGACAATAATGATGGGAGTGTTGCCAATGTCTGTCCCAAGCAGTTCCTAACATGGGAACCACGGCCAGGGTCTATGAGAGGGCTCTTGGCTTCCCACACCAGAGGCCACACCCACGCAGACTGACCAGTCCCTGACTGAATGTGCTGGAGAGAGACAGCTTCCTGCTGGCCCAGGGGGCACCGGGGGTCACGCAACCACCTGGACCCCACCAACTGTATGATCCTGGGAGAACCCAGTTACTAGAATGGCAGAAGCTTTGCAAGGCCCGAGAAAAGGGCCCCGCTGGGGCATGTCCACACTGAGAGATATTAACGACTGTGTTCAAAGCTGCTGACTTCTGCGGCAAGACCAACCAGTCCACAGGGTGGAGGAGCTTCCTGGCCTCTCTGTGTGCAGGAACCCGCTCCCTCCTCTAACTGGCCATGGCACCTTATGGGCAGGCAAACACAAACGCAGACATGAACACAGGGATTCAATGTCCCTGAACCCTTTCTCCCCTTGTTCCCAGGGGTTCACTCACTCCCTGGCGGGTGGCCTGACAGAACTTATCTGGGACCTAAGCACTGACCTTTCCCCACTCCCGGGCGGAACCTGGATAGGCCACAAGCAACAGCCTCTACTGAATACACATCAATAGGGACGTGGGTGTGAGCAAGACCCGCTGCAGAAGCGAGGTGACAGTTGGGCCCCGGAAGGATGTGAGTGAGGAAGGCACTCCTGCCAGGAGGGGAGGGCTCATCAGAATTGTCACCGTTGGCTTCCACGCCTGCGGAACTTTGAGATCCAACTGCCTTTTGGTCTCCCGACCAACGGGAGCGTTGGGGTGTGCAGAGGCCGGACCCTGGGATGACAAACTCTACTTTGTTCTGTCACTCAACGTTTCTGTCACCCACGTGTGATGCAGTATGGTGACCTGTTGTGGGAAGGGGAAGAGTTGGTGTGGGGTGATTCCAGTAATGTGGTCACAGGAGCCCCAGGTATGTGACGTGAGAGTGGCGGGTGGGGGTGGCAGTTACGAAGGGCTCTGGGGAGAGGGCACCCACAGGCAGGATGGCCAAGGAGGCTCCCACAGGCAGAGTACTTAGAAGATAAAGCACCGCAAGGACAGGGACTCTGCTTCTCCGAGAGGTCCAAAGGAATCCTGTCACTCTAGCTGTGGGGAGATGGTCCAGACCAGCTGACTGGGTGGGAAGCTACTGGCCCATGGAAACTGTTCTGTGTATCTCTGGACCAGAAAAAAAAGGGACTCAGCACCATTTCCGGATCAGGGCTGCAAGTCCCACCCACTTGGTCAGAGGGAGCACCTCAGCCTCTGCTTGAACACCCGGAATACCAGGATTGGAAAGACCCCCAAGAAGATAGTCGTCACACTTACATCCTTCACAGTTCTCTACTCCATGCTGGTCTTCTTTTCTCTTTCAAGGAAGAGGGTTGCAGCTTCGTTCCCAGACCCCGGCCACCTGCCTTGAGTGTGCCACGAATGGCTCTTGACAGCCATCCACTGTCCTAGGGGCTATGGAAAGGAAGGCATGTCCTTTTGCTCTGAGAATCTAAAGACCCAACACATGAAAGAAGGTGGATTTAAAGTCCAGAGTGAAGGCATCCGGGGTCACTCCAAGAGAAACTTCCAAACACAACAAAGGAACTCAGTTGCTTATTATTCTGTACATATACGCGGCTCTGTTGATCTGAGCCCATCCAGGCACATACAATTAGAGTCACTTAGATATCTAAGTGGGGAGTTAGTGGGCCAAGTAAGGGCTGCCTGACCTCACGCACACACCCTGCAGTGAGGTGGCTACAGGCTGAAGGAACCAGGATGACAGGGATGTGACTGTTCTCCTAGAAGTTGTGCGGCTTCCGGGAGAGTGAGCAGAACATGAAGGTCTGTGGAGAATCTAGACTGAATTAGCACCTAAATCACCGTCTCTGCCAGGCTTTCTGGCCAAAATAGGTCCCAGGTCTGCAGGGTTCAAGGGCTGTGGAGGTAGATTGTTTTCTCTTGAGGGCTGGAGCTGCAGAGTCACCCTGAGGAAGGACATGGTGGGCTGGAGAAAAAGAGCCGTTGTCCTGTCAGCCACCAACTGAAGGTGGAAACCACGGCAAAGGGAACGATGTTTCTAATCTAGCAGAGACACTGGCTCAAGGGAAAGAAGTGGGCTCTGCTTGTTCTCCAATTTAAATAATAATAATAAAAATCCTGACTGGAGGGGCTGGAGAGATAGCACAGCGGTTAGGGCATTTGCCTTGCACTCAGTCAACCCAGGTTCGATTCCCAGCATCCCATATGGTCCCCTGAGCACCGCCAGGAGTGATTTCTGAGTGCAGAGCCAGGGGTAATCCCTGTGCATCGACGGGTGTGACCCAAAAAGCAAAAAAAAAAAAAATCCTGACTGGAATCCAGTCACGAACGACTTTGTAACTGTTTACCTCATGGTGCTTTAATAAATATATTTTTTTTAATTCCCCTTCAATTTCCTTTTTCCTGGATCTGGCAATCATCTTTGATTGACAACCCCGCCCTCCTGTGAAACCCGCCCCTCAGGCACTGCCATGCTCCACCTCAGAACTACCCTGACAACAGGACAACACTCCACAGAGAAAGACTCCACACTCCTCTGTCAGTGCCCCTTTGGGCTAAGGCAGAAAGTATAAAATCAGTGGAAATAAAGTGCGGAAGTTGGTCCACGGGCAGCGTGAACTCAGGTCGGCTCACAAGGCGCCCTCGCCGCAGATCCATGGAGGCCGCCATGTTTTTCTTCCCTAACCCCGCCCTCAACGCTCCTGATTGGACAAGGAGTGGACACCTGACCCAGGTCGACCAATTAGATTTGTTCTCGCTGGACCAAGCATTTAGGATCCGGTGAAATACAGGCCAGTCTCCTGCAAGATCTTGGGATGGAGAAGACCTGGGACTGAGGAGACCAAGAAGGACAAGGAAGAGATAAGCTAGCACAGGAGAAGCCCTATGGAGCTACCTGTTCTCAGGACGCTGGTCTCCTTTCCCAAACAGGCCATTTTCTTAAAAAATTTTTATTAGTGAAACACCATGAGGTATAGTTGTAGACTTACAATTTTTTGTGCTTGGGTTTCAGCTATACAATGATTGAATACCCATCCCTCCACCAATGCCCATTTTCCACCACCACGGATCCCAGTAGCCCTCCAACTTGCCATCCCCTCCACCCCCCACCCCCCAATCCCACCCTGCCTCTGTGGCAGGGCATTCCCTTTTGTTCTCGCTCTCTTTTTGGGTGCTGTGGTTTGCAAAAGAGGCATTGAGTGGCAATCCTGTTCAGTCTATAGTCTACTTTCAGCATGCATCTTCCATCCTGGGAGGATCCTCCCAACACCCTTTATTTGGTTATCCCTTCTCTATCTGAGCTGCCTTTCTTAAGGCCAAGTGTAGTTTCATAATGTGAGAAGCAGAAGATTCCTCCGTGAGATGCTAGTTCTAATCTAATTCCCCTTGGAATGTGAGAAGTGGCTAGCTCACCTCTTCTCACCCTGGTTCTAAAAGTTGTAGGGGGGGCAGCTCTGGCCAAGAGGGATAAATGATTTAACTGAGTTACTGAGTTAATTAGTTTACAGCATCATTTGGTAGGAGGCAGCTCTGGCCATGAAGGATATCTGAATCAGCTGATAAGATGCTTTCTTGATATATGAGAACTGTGAATGTCTTCTTAATTAGGACTGTTTTGTTTTCTTGATAATTTGCTCTTGTATGCCTTTGTTCGCTTTGGAATATTTTAAGTTACTTTTGCCTTTGGAATTGTTTTTCTTTGAGCTTGCTCCTGAGGCCTGCACACCCAGGAGAGCTATATAAACCCTTGGCTGTGAACACCCTGGGTCGAGCTCTGACCTGAGTCAGGATGTCTCGGCCCCAGCTAGCTGGAATAATGTCTTGGCCCCAACTAGCTGGTATAATAAAGTCTCGATGTGCGGTTTGCATTTCTGCCGGACTCTTTATTTCTCTGGATATGGGGGGGGATGGTCTTCGGTCCTAACAATAACTGAGCACTTGCTTTGATGTGTCCTGGGTTCAATCCCTGGCACCACACACACACACACACACACACACACACACACACACACACACAAACACACGACTCTTAAAGGCATTTCTGTTACCTGCAAAGAATTTTGCTGACTGTATCCTGAATTGGTTTCCCTTTCTTATGAACAAGGGGGTGAGGCTGTAAGGGGATAGAAACACAAAGGTTCAAAGGCACTTGAGGTGGTTGGTGATCAGAAAATCTGGGGTCTCTGGCAGTGTTTGGGGGATCAGAGAGTGCGGGCAGTGAGGTAGGTGAAGTCTATGCATTAGGAGCAACAAAGCTAATGTAATCTCTGCCGTGCTGGCGAGATACTCTCTGTAGCTTGCCGGGCTCTCCGAGAGGGGCAGAGGAATCGAACTCGGGTCGGCCATGTTGGCTACGTACAAGGCAAACGCCCTACCACTGTGCTATTGCTCCAGCTTTTTTTAATGGCTGAAAATCAAAGTGAAGCCCAGAAGCATCTCCCAGGAGTAGTAGTTAAGCATAAAACTAGAAAATCCATGCCATAGAATAGTTACTGTCATTAAAAAAAATGCCATCACGATCACTTTGGACAGGAACTGAGTGTTGAAAGTTGGTAAAGGGATATACCAAAATAACCTTTTAGTATCTGTGTTGCAAATCATAATTACCAAAGGGAGAGGGTGGGGGGGGGGGAGAGAGAGAGAGAGAGAGAGAGAGAGAGAGAGAGAGAGAGAGAGAGGGAAACTGGGGACATTGGTGGTGAGAAATAGGAAAAAAAAAAAAGCAAATGACATACTCTCCAAAAACAGGGAGAGAAGATTCTTGATAGAGTGATGTGAAGGAAGAATGTATCTTTGCTTCCAGTTGTGCTGGCATCTTACAAGTGTCAGCATTGGCCAGAATTGTATCAGATTATTCCCGGGGAACATAGCTACTGGCAATTTCTATTTCCTGTCATCTCTCTGTGTACGTCTCCATATTTTTCCCATTTTCTGTCATCCTCGAGCATCATTTTTGTGATTGGAATATGTACCATCGAGTCAATAAATGTGACACCAATACAGAGAAGAACACCCAAGAAATCGAATTTCCAAGAATTTATTAACATGATTGCATGGTGGGAAACGTAAGCGAGAATAATCCGCGCCAGACCCAGGGCTCTCTGCACTCATCACGCAGTTGATCCACTTGGCACAAACCCACCAAGGTCACCCTCAGAGTCAGCACCCTCCAATTTGGGTTCCCCCAAAGCCAGAAATCTCTCACAGCTCTCCAGACATTCACTGCCAGCTCACTCCAGAGGAGGGAGAGGCTCTTTATTTTATTAATTTATTTTTTAAGTAGACAGCAACCGACCTCCAGGAAGCCCGAGGCCTCCTGTCATCGTGGGGATAGGCTCCAGCCTCTCTAAAGCCAGGTGATGTCACAGTTTTCATCCAAGGTAAAATCTAACTGCAGCCCCCAACTGGCCCCCTTTCTAGGTAAAAAAAAAAAAATAAGTGCTTGGAGACCTTCATGGCCCTCTTGGAGGGGAGGTGTTGAGTTAAAGCTCCCAGGTGTGGTCCGGGTAGGAGGAAGTGCAGGCACAAAAAGCATGTCTGAATATCGACCTAAAGGTATGGCTCGTGATTTGGTGACAGAGTCATGGCAGAGGTCATCTCTGAGCAGCCTTGGTGATGCCACGTGCCCGCCCACCCGGGGCCATCGGTCGGTCTCAGTGCGTCTTGGACTTGTGCGATTTCTTCCCACGCGGTTTCTTCCCAAAGCACTTCCGGCACCCGAAGGCACAGCACTTGTAGACGATGAAGAGGACGCCCAGCACGATGGACAGGAGGAAGGCGATCACGTCCAGGGAGTGGTACTGGTACCAGGTGAGGTCGTGGGCAGCGGGGCGCAGGTGCGGCGCCCCCTTGTGCCGCATGACGAACTCCACCCAGAACACGGCCAGGTCCAGAGGCTCGATGGGGCGGTCCTTGTGCAAGCTGGACAGACGCATGATGTTCTCCTTGTAGCTAAACACAAAGACAAGGGCAGGGCTGAGTGCACAACGCCAGGTGGTCTGCTTGCTGGGGGTGGGGTGGGGGCGGCGGGCAGGAGGGGGGCACTGCCTGGGAGCAGAGCTGTGTTTGTTAAAACCAAGCAAGAAAACTCCCAAGGCCTCATACAAGCTCACAGCGTGCGTGCACACACACACACACACACACACACACACACACACACACACACACACACTCATCTTTTGCTAAAAATTCGGCAGCAGAGGCCAGAGAGAAGGCTTGAAAGACTAGAACAGCAGGCTTGGCATTCTTGAATCCGGAGTTTGACGCTCAGTCTAGCCAAGCCCCACCTCCCTGCTTCCTCCCATCCAACACAGCCAGGTAAGGCCCCCAAACAGAAGTTAAAAAAAATAGAAAATTGGGTGCTGGAACCACAATTCTAAATCACTTGAAACATGCCACTGTCCTTTTATTCTTCTGTGATATTTTTGGATGAATTGCCTTCTGCTTCATACAACGATAGAGAGATGATGGCAACGCTTATGTCAGGAATGGTGCCCGTGTGAATTTGTAAACAGCCACATCTTGCCAATAAAAAAGCCGCGTTAAGTGTCACCTCTGAGGTGGCAGCTGTGTTTCAGCTCACTGGAGGAAATATCAAACCATCCAAATGCTCGGTGGAGCAAGGAGGCTGTGCTTCTGCAGATGGTAAAGCAAGGTAGATCCTTGGTTATTCCGGACAGTGTAGATGGTTGGGTCAGAACATCCAGATCCAAAATGGGCTAGAAACTTCAACCAGTGAGATGGATGGATGGATGGATGGAGGGATGGAGGGAGAGTGGGAGGATGGATAGAAGGATGGGTCGATGGATGTATGGAGGGAGAGAGGGATGGGTGGATGAATAGAAAGATGGATAGATGGAGGGAGGGATCGATAGAGGGATGGATGGATGGAGGGAGGGATCTATAGGATAGGTGGACAGATGTACTGAGGAGAAAGCATGGAGGAAGGGAAAGACAGTGAAAGAGATAGTGGAAGGAAATAAAGGAGGGAAGAAAGAGGAAGGAAGGAGGGGATGAAGGAGGGAGTGAGATGGATGGGAAGAGAAAGATGGATGAGCAGGAGGAAAGAAAGAGAAAATAAGACACTTATCCAGGGATAATTATTATCTTTGTTGTCCTTAAAAATGGTCATCTGGTTTGGATACATTCTTTAAAGGCAACATTAATATTTGACCATAAATTGGTTAATTATCTACCTCTTGTGTAAGTATTCTCTTAAGCAAAACAAAATTTCTTGGACTGAAAATCACTTTTCAGAACCGCTGTGTCCTAGTTGCAAAATCGGCTTTTTTGACATTGTCCACTCTTTTTTTTTTCTTTTTGGGTCACACCACCTGGCAATGCACAGGGGTTACTCCTGGTTCATGCACTCAGGAATCATTACTGGCGGTGCTCAGGGGACCATATGGGATGCTGGGAATTGAACCTGGGTCGGCTGCGTGCAAGGCAAACACCCTACCCGCTGTGCTATCTCTCCAGCCCTGACATTGTCCACTTTTTATTTCATAGAGGCACGACGCCAGTCGAGGGTGCTGGGTTCATGGAGGTTCAGAGCTGGCTCCTGTGAAGAGCTGGCTGGTTAATGAACACAGTGGTTCGTGATTTGACAGAAACAATATTTCTCTCGGGACTTGGTGCCAAGTCACCCTACGGTTACAAAAGCACTGTGCTGGGACAGATCAGAGTTCTACTGCTGATAGGACTCTCAGACCTGAGTTCTTTGGCACATGGAGAGAAGATGAGTTTTCATTGTGGGAATGTGTGGGTGGGATGACCTGGCCTCGCATTTGGGTTTCTGGAGAAGTTGCTGGAATGAAGCGCTGAGAACTATCCCTCCTGCCCTGGGGAGGCTGCCCCTGCTTCTGGGCATTTCACCCACAGTCCTGTGGATGGGGCACTTCTATCTCCTCCTGTGGACTGGGCACCCCACAACTGGGCACACAAGAGCTTGCAGTGGGTCTCGTGTCTCCCCTTTCTCCCCTGCCCAGGCCACTGTCAGTCCCTGGGCAATGTCACCTCCCACCTGAACACACACCCACTTTTCCTCATGCAACCCCCTGAAGGCCTCCTCCAAAAAGAAGCAACCATAAGTGAAGACCCCTGACATGCTCATGGATAAGCACGCTCACACACGCGCGCTCACACACACACACACACATACACACACATACACACGCATGCATACATGCACACACGTGTACACACACACCTTTGAGTTGATGTACTTCACTCAGACACATGCAGGCACACATATAATCACATACATGTCCCTGTACCTGCATGTGTGCCCACACATATTATTGTTGGATAAAAAAGTCACTGCAGACCCTGAGCTCTCTCACAAGGATTTGTGCGTGTGTTGCCAGGGGTCGGAACCCGGGGTCTCACATGTGCGAGACAGGTGCTCCCCATTGAGCTTTTCCACATGGTTTCCATCACCCTGAGTGAGCTTGGCAGTGACAAGACAGCTGTCAGAGACTACTAGATGGGATACTTTCCTCTTCCGGGTCATTCTCACAGCTGGATGGCGCACAGGCCTGAGAATCTTGCCCGCATGATACCCTGCGATTCCACACCACTGCCACACAAACCCCGGGCTCACTTCACCTCCAGTTGCAGTGCCGAGAAAACCTGCACTTCGGTGTTGACATTTGAGCATTTCTTGTGCACGTGATGGCCCCCAAAAGGAAGACCCTGTTCCCCTGTGCCCCTTCCCTCTTACCTTTTGTCATAGATGACGGCCTTCAGGGCCTTAGACAAGTCCTCCGAGGTCATCTCCAGGACGTCCAGGGTCACGCCAGCTCCCCGGGACTCCATGCGCTTGGCATTGTCCATCTGGTCCCCGAAGAGGGGCAGCATCACCATGGGCACGCCGTTGCAGATGCCTTCGTATATCCCATGGGAGCCAGAGTGTGTGATAAAGGCACGCGTCTTGGGGTGACCTGGGAGGAACACACGGGAGGGGCCCACTGTGAGGTTGCTGAGACCCTCAACCTGACCTCGTTGAAGTCCCAGCTACTCGCAGACTCCACGCTGGGGCCAGGGAGATAGAACAGGGGAAGGCCTTGCACACACCTGACCCTGAGTTTCTTCCCGGCACTGCATATGACCCCTGAGCACTGCTAGGGGGTCGCCCCTGAGCACTGAGCCAAGGATAGCCCCTGAGCACTGCTGGGTGTGGTTCAGCCCCCTAATCACCCCATAAAAGGATTCCACCTGTCCATCATGGTCCTTGCAAAAGAAAATGAGTGGAGGCACCCACTAGGTAAGAAGCAAGGCCAGGGCCACCGGCCGTTATGTTTCCCACAACACTTCAGGAGACCGAGGCAGAAGCCCATTTCTGGACTTAACGTCAGTTTAGCCAATGCATCAAACACCCCCCACCTACCGAGCAGGTCATTCTGGGGCAGCCACTTGACAAGTTTTGTGTTCTTGGCGAGATTCTTGGGTGGAGTTCCCGTGTACCGCCACAGGACCTTGTAGAGACAAAAAATAAGATAAAAATAAAAATAAAAAGACAGGGAAATAACAACAGGGAAACTTTGCAATGGCAGCCAAAGAATCTTCTCTTCAGAATGAGCAGAACCTGTGAGAGGCTGGTGGTGAGGTGACCCCAAGGCCTCAGGGGGCTGGTCAAATGCTGTGAAGCTGTGAAAACTCATCAGCCTGGACGTGTGGGGCATCTGCATTTTTCTGCAGGGCCAGAGAGCGTTTACTGGGTAGAATGGCTATGAAACTTTAAAGACAGATATTTGAGAAACAAATCTATCAATCCCCCCAGCAGTTTAAGAGGGAAATGATCTTATGGAAGAGGAAATGCTTCCCACTTTATTTGTGGAAGTTCTTCTCCTCACTACACCTCAGTGTCTCCTAGAGAAGAGGACCCCTCTCATAGACTGGAAGGGAGTACTGCAGAGAGTGAAACAGTTCAGGGAACTTAGGAATGAACTGTGGTGCTGTGGCAGAAAAAAAAATCCTGCTTCAAGTCCAATAATGGAAATTATTCTGATCCCAGAGCAGGGACCAGAACTCCCGTGAAGACAGCCAGGAAGCATGGAAGAGTTCCTTACCGTCTGGGGGATGGTGCCCAAGGCCTCGGCGATTTCCATGGCTTTCTTCTCTGGAATGTCGGAGACCATGGAGCCCAGGGAGAAGACCACGACCCCGTGCTCCCCGGAAGCATTGACGTAGCCTTCAAACTCCTAGACAGGAAGAGAAATCCCCAGTGAATTTTTCTTTGCACATCTTAAGCCATGAACCAGACCTCTTCCTCTTAAGAACAGGATTAGGAGCTGGAGCAATAGAACAGTGGGTACGGCATTTGCCTTGCATGCGGCTGACCCAGATTCGATTCCCAGCATCCCATATGGTTCCCTCCATCACCACCAGTGTAGTTCCTGAGTACATGAGCCAGGAGTAACCCCTGTGCATCACCGGATGTGATACCCCCGCAAAAAAACACGATTAAAGCAGGGCTGGAGCAATAGCACAGCGGTAGGGCGTTTGCCTTGCACGCAGCCAACATGGCCGACCCGAGTTCGATTCCTCCGCCCCTCTCAGAGAGCCCAGCAAGCTACCGAGAGTATCTCGCCCGCACGGCAGAGCCTGGCAAGCTCCCCGTGACGTATTCGATATGCCAGACACAGTAACAACAAAGTCTCCAATGGAGACGTTACTGGGCCCGCTTGAGGAAATCGATGAACAATGGGAGGACAGTGACAGTGACAAAGTGGGGGTGGGGGGCACATGCATACAAGCATGAATGTGTGTTAGAGGCGCAAAGTATTTGATGACATGTAGTCCTCCCATCTCTTTCTAACGATGCAACAGAAGGAGTAGTTCAGGACTGTGGAGTGGGAAGACGGGGACTGGGTCCCCCAGGAAGTTAATTTTACCCAAGGCAGTAATCTTAGCTCAACCTCTTAGGGCCACACCCTTCTGAGCTAAATGCAGAGAATTTTGTCTTTGGGAAACCAATGCACCCATGCTCTTGAGCGCGCGCACACACACACGCACACACACACACACACCTGCACACATATATATGTTCATGTCAACATATAACCATACACATATCTGTGTACAACACATACCTTCATACATACAGGCACATACATACACCTGCTGACACATACCTGTGTATGCATACCCCGACCCACACCTGCATACACACGTACCTGAACACACACACCTACACATGCGCACACACACATACACACACACACACACACACCTGCACATGCACACACAAGGCACTTCTACTTGGAGGAAACAGAACAAGGCATTAGTCCGACACCCTCCCCCGGCTACAGCTGACCGGGATAGCTACCATCCTAGAGTGCAAGTGATTTTACTTTTCCAAAGAACGCCAAGTCATGCTGTATGAAATGATGGGGTTGCCCAGAACCAGAGGACTCTGCGGTTGATCCTTAACCATGCAGGACCAACCCGAGCACTGCCCTCTAAAAGTGGGAAGCAGCCGTTTCAGTCAGAGCCCTGCCCATGTGATTTGCAGAGACGTCTGCCCAGCGCGAATTGGAGCAGGACTGGGAAGGGGCGAGGGCCTCTCTCAGGCCAGCCCCCCGACCCTGCTCTGCCCGCGCCACCTCTACACAGTGCGGTGGTGGTAGAACATCCTGACCTACGTCCCCCCAGTTTCCTCCCTGGGACCCGTGCACATGGCTCCTCCCTTGATCACCCCTGATTTTATGTTTCCTTGTAACTGCCCCGGTCCTGTTCCACAACCATCAAGAGATATGAAGGGAGGTGGAGAAAGAACTTTATTAGCAAGCAACTTGCAGGTTGGAAGAGGCTGAACTCAGGTCCTCAAAGTGACCACGTTGTTTGCCTAGTCACAGAAGTGCTGTTTGCAGAAAATGGGAGAGTTTTTTTAGAAAGGGTAGATTGCAGGCCAACGGGTGCCAGAACAAACAATGAATTTCCTCCGGGGCTGGTCCCCAGAGCACACGCAACCTTATCTGGAAACTAAGGCAAAGGTTTGTGTGTAAAAGTTGAGCCTGTCCTTGTCTTAGGCTGGCAGGGAGGGGCTGACGGGGGCTCAGGGACAAAATGTGGAAGAGTCACTTGGTTGCGTCGCACCTAATGTCTGTCCCCCCCATCCCCATTACTTCAGTCTTGTCTAGAAAGTGCCAGACTCATGCCTCCCCGCCATGTCCTCCCGCCCCCGTTCAGCAACCAGAGGCGGGTCCCGCTAAGTGGCATGCATGATTAAGGGCCATAAACACCCAACGTGAAGCAGAGAACTTGGCAGGCATTTCACTACGGTGAACCTTCATCTGCAAATTGTACTGAGCCAGCTGTGGACACTGTTTGCTCTCAAGACCAGCTCTCCCTGGTTCAGGCAAGGTGGCAAAACATTTCCCAGTCTCAATCCAACTTCCTTAACCCTGGACTGGGCCAATGAGTGAAGCAAGTGCCTGCTGAAAATAACCCTTTCATCCCCCTACCGATGTGCCCACCTCTGACCCCAAAAAGCCAGCCTGCTCCCCAAAGATCTTATATGAGTGGAGGATTTTTCATCCCAGACTTGAATCTCAAGTCTCTGTGACAATGTGGTGACTCTGAAGATGACACCAAAGGCTAGTGTGACTTGCAGCTCAGAACTAGGAGCCTAACACGATAGAAAAAAATCCGAGAGGCACCCGACACACTCAGTCGGAATCCATCTGTGACTAGAGTTACAGTAGCAAGGTCCGTGAAGTGCACTCCCCCCTCCCCCCCCCCACAGACACATACACACACACACACACACACACACACACACACAGAGGCACACACCTGAGCAAGTGGTTTTTGGTTAGCACAGTTGATCCCCCCAACAAACACCATGTTGGGCATGATGGGCCTGGGGTGATAATTGACAAAGTCACTCCTGAGGATCCAGACCGAGGCGCTGCTCATGAGGTCCTGCACAGTGACCGTTTTCTGGAGGAACTCGGAGGCCAGCTGGGCATAGGGCGAATAAACGGCATTGCACAGAAAACTCTCGGTGGAGGCAATGAGTACGTTTTTCACCCTCTGCAGGAAGGTCATGTGATCTGAGTTCATGGACAGTGACCTGGGCACGTAGGACGGGGGCTTGGGACACTGGGCACCTTGATAGTCCAGGCTGCAAGGCATGGCGTTTAAGTAGAAGACACTGGGGAGTCGCAGGTGCTGGGCCACGATGGGGCCGCAGGGCAGGAAAGGATCAGCGAGCATGAGGTCGAATTTGCTGGCTGCCAGCGAAGCCATGAGCTGCTCGTTGTAGAGCAGAGAAGAGCAGAAGGACAGGAAAAGGGCCGAGTCCTCTTTGACACCCTTGTACACGTCCACCACACGCTGCAGGAAAGGCTTGTCGTTGAACACCCTTTTCCCAATATTGGCTACGACCTTTTTCATTTCCTCCCTTCCCTTGGGCACGGAGTACTTCTTCAAGGTGTAAAAGGGTCCTTCCTGGATATGCAACGAGGCATCGGGCGCTACGACCACTATTTCATGTCCCTTCTGATGCAGTCGCTGGATGACCCCGAGTGTGGCCAGCCAGTGGCTCCCGTCCATTGGGATCAGCAGCAGCTTCCCGCCCTGGGTGGCCATGGGGCCCAGAACACACAGCAGCAGGCCCAGGGTGACAGCCCGAGGAAGCTGGGACTCTGCTGCCATGGTGCTCTGCCTCTGCTCTGCAGACCTGCACCTGTGTCTCTGCTTCACGTGAGTGATCTCACCCAAGTTAATGTTTGACGCATCCCGTGGGCTGGCAGCTAAGTTTGACAGTTTGCTTTTTATTTCTTTTGACACACCCGGTGGAGCTCAGGGCTGACTCCTGGCTCTGTGCTCAGGGGTCACTCTTGGTGGGACTCAGGGGGACTTTATGGCCTGGGGGGCAGAGTATCAAACCCGGATCAGCCTTGTATAAGCCAAGCACCCTACATGCTATACTACTGTTCTCATGCCTGAACTTTGTGTATTTCTTTATTTCCTTCTTGTTTTTCCTTCTTCTGGTTTTGGAGTCCTATTGGTCCCTGATGAGCAGACCCCGAGATGCCAGATGGAATTCGGGTCTCCCTCACGCAGAGCCTCTGCTCAGCCCTTGAAATCACCTCCCAGGCCGTCCGCCTTACTGGACTTCTACTGCTCAATCACTATTAAATAGCTTGGGATTCCATATCAATCCCACCATAGTCTCAGGGGAACACACTGTCAGTCCTGAATCCATTAGTTTGATCTATTCAAGAACCCAAAGAGATCCTGAGAGGGGAAAGACTAAGTCCTATCAAATTAGATTCTCCAGAAAATTGACAATCCAGGGGTTAAGAAGCGTGCTTGCTTTACATGTGGCGGGCCCTCAGTTCCTATGGCACTGCCTATCCCGACCACCACCAGGAGACACTCCCGAGCTCTCAGAACCAGGGACAGCCCCGCCTCCTGGTTTTTGGCCACTGAGCGTGGCCCAAAAACTGAAAAGGAAATAAAAAGTTGACAAGGTCATTCAGGACAACTTGAGGGGGAGGGATGAGTTCCTCTCCCCACCCCAAGGAGCCAGCCCTGGCTGCCGAAAACCTTCAGAACTCAACCATCGCCAGGCTCAAGGCCGCTCTCTACTTACTTGGGCCGAGCCTCATGCACGAGTGAATCCACAGTAAACCCAAGTATGTAGGACTTGTGACTGAAAACATGAGGTTCAACAGAACCAGAAATGACCTCCCTGCATGTCCCCCTGTTTCCGGCAACTTGGCAGTCATGCCAACAAACCATTTCTGGCTGGAGCCAGAAAATCTCATCTTTGGTCATGATCTAGAGACTGAACAATACATCTCTCAGAAGAGAGCAGAAAACGACTCACCATAGCTATGCCCCCCCCCGGGCCCTGCACCAGGCTGTTCCATTCGGGGCACCCTGGAGAGGGGCAGGTCAGACCACTTCCCGCCCCAAGGACCCAGCCCCAGCAGCCAAAAACCTCCAAAACTCAACCTCCGCCATGCTCATGGCCGCTCTCCACATGCTCAGACGTGTTCATCCATGAGTGACCTATCCTGGATCACGTGGCTGCATCCATGGTTGTGCAACATCTCATACCTCATACCACTAATATTTCAAGAGTAGTGCACCGTGTTTGATGGGGTTCAATCTTAGAGGGAAATATATTTTTACTGGTATATAAATTTACAGATATATATCTGTAAATTTATAGATATATATTTAA